CGCATGTACGATTTTTATTGAAATGTTTACTCGAAATTGAAAACGCGAAACTTAGAGTTCTGGAAAAGTTCGAGCTTGTTTCTGATTACCGTTTCGAGACGAAAACATGTTTACAATGTATTGACCATGTTATGCTATTGCTTGATAATATTTGTTTTGTCCGTGACAACCGAATTTCCATCCATGTCACCGAGGTAACCGACGAATAAACAAAAATAAATAAAAAAAAAAACAATTAGATATTCGCACTGATAAAAACACCTAAAAACCTAGTCGTTGCGATTTTCGTAGGGGTCTATAATTTTTTTTTTTGAAAAATAAAATACAGCCCACGTTTACTCGCTTATGATGTGGTTATTTTTTATTGGCGAAAGAAGTTTTAAAATCGGCGGTTATGTAGTTTTTGAGCTCATCCATTACAAAACGTGCAATCAAATCTTTTCCCTTTTGTTAAATATATGTTTGGCACGCTAAATATTGTGAAATAGGTTAATGTCGTCATACTCAACACGTTTTGTGTATGAAAACCGATTTCGTGCTGTTAGTTTTGACATTGGATGTATTTGTCTACAATCAGATTTAAAGGTAAGCGCATTGTCTATTGTTGTACGTTGGTTTTTTTCCGATATTTTAACTTTCAAGCGAGTTACGAACATGTATTAAATGACAGTTTTAAAATCATCATATATTGCTTGAAAATTGAAATATCGAAAAAACGCAACGCACAAACACGGACAATATTCTCACCTTTGGGTTCGATAATTAGCCAATATACGCTAATATTAAAATGAATGGCACGGAATCGGTTAACGTGCAAACGTAACGACATGAACCGGTTTAACAACATTGGCCGTAACGTATAAATATATGTTAAGTATAGACGAAAAAAAATCGTACAAACTAAAAAAAAAAAAAAAAATGGCCAAACAGATCATCAAACCTAATAATGGTCGTCACCGGCACCGTACGTTATCTACAATAGCGTTTTCCGTCCGACTGCACTCGCGTGCATACTACACGCGGTCAGTGAATACTCACAACTCACCCCACGACGAGCGCACCTGGTATGATGATAACAATATGAAGTGGAACATTATAATAACAAATCGTCGTACTTAATGTTCGCGACCTCCGTATTATGACGTTAATTTGATAACTGCACTTATCAAATTCGAGTGATCACTGATGATCACGTCAAATACGAAACGGGTATTCTTATCAAACATAATATCTCCATACACCGTCATATCCCGTTACGCCGTCAAAATCGACAAATTATTATTTTTTTTTTTTTTTCCGGACGCCTGCATGCAGTTTTTTCCCGGTTAGGTTAGGTTAGGTAACGTACGAATTCGTGGTTCCGACGAATTGTCATTTTTAGATTCTGAGTGGAGCGAAGAATGTATTGGTTTTACATAGATGTTTATTAAAAAAATTTTTTCTACCAAAAAGCTTATGCCGGTGTATACGATATTGATCTTTTTCTGATAGGAAATTGTCTTGGGGTGGTATTTTAGGGAGGTCGTTTTTCGATGTTCCCAAGATTTTTCCCGGCAAAATGTGAAAAACCAGGAAAAGCGTAGGGAAATCGGTTCATTAAACGAATATTATTAAAGAAAAGATATAATGCCTATTTAATTAATTTAGCGTAACGTGACATATATATTGTTGACAAAACGTCACTATCAGCTGAACTCCGCTCAGAATCGTCTTTTTGTTAGCAATGGGTTATCGCTGCGTACATTAAATTACCTATAACAGTGGCTGCACCCCGTCCCCGTTATCCTTGTACAGCTTTTTTAATATAAAAACGTTTACAAACTGACGACAATATTTACAATATTATTCGTGTGGATCGTTCACATACAGTGTTGTTCGTTTTATCTTGTCACCTATTTAATGCTTGCCTGTCCGATATGTTTTAAATATATTTTTCGTCTGATTGTCTTCGTGGTGACTATAATTCTTCAATTTCATTCAAACGGTTTACAAACTTTTCTTTGTAAAAATCCACCGTTTGATGTTCTCCGTAAACCATTTAGCGCCCAGAGTTTCTTTTTCTTTTCACTTAACATTGTAACAATATTAACTAACATGTATCAACACACTACTTAAGTTATGATTTGGGCAGAGAACTTGTAGCAATTGCATATTTGTTTTACACTATTCAAAACAATATTACGTGGCAAGAAACAAACACCTTTTCAGCCTAGAACAATTTTGTAATTTGTAATTTTATTTATCGTATAAACGCATAATATTATATTTTGTGTTTTTTTTATTTTTATTGTATATTTCTCTTATTTCATAATTTTTGAGACATATTTTATTTAATTAATAATTTTAACAATATTTCCCACAACGACGTTTTTATTTCATTCCATAATACAACTGGATTGTTAGATTTGAATTTATTTTTAATTTTTATCACACATTATATACAGTGAAACTTCCATGTAACGAAATTTTCTGTTTAACGAAATATTTTTAAGAACTATGACCTTCATTGTTAATTACATATTTAATTACACGTTTTATCTCCAAATAACGAATCTGATGTTTCTATATAACGAAATAATTATTCGATAAAAACCAGCTTTGTAAATGTTGTCACTATCAAATTGATAGTTTATGTCATAGTTCTAAAATTGTACATGAACAATTTACCCGATAAAGATAAGACACCGAATGTAAGCAAACTGATTTATTTTACTGCAGTACTTCAGTTTTAATATTGATGCAAACGAGTANAAAAAAGTAAATCCTGATGAATTTGAAGAAGAAGTCGACGAAGAGGAACATGCAGTAGAACAGTCCAAACTCACAGAAGAAAACATATTAAACGCTTTATCAGTGGTAAGAAATGGTTTTAGACAAGAAGCAAATGTTCCCGATGAATTTTTTATTAAAACTTGACGATATAGAAACTTTTTACGAAAGAAGGACAATTTTCAAAAATAATAAGCAAACAAAACTTACAGATTATTTCTTTTAAATTATATTTAAGGTTAAAAATTAAATTAAACTTTAATNCGAGTATGAATTTTCTCTCGTTTTCTCTTCTTCCGTACAAAAGAAATTTTAGACAAGAAGCAAATGTTCCCAATGGAATTTTTTTAAAACTTGACGATATAGAAACTTTTTACGAAAGAAGGACAATTTTCAAAAATAATAAGCAAACAAAACTTATAGATTATTTCTTTTAAATTATATTTTAGGTTAAAAATTAAATTAAACTGTAATATGATGTTTGATGTTGCTTTTTTACATGCATACATAATTAAATTTAAAACGTAATTCTATTTAACGAATTCCTCTATATAACGATTTTTTTTTTGGCTGCTTATTCGACTTCGTTACATGGAAGTTTCACTGTATATATGTACATGTATTTTTAAAATAGTACATACATACACATACATAATAATATATAGATATTATTGTTTAATTTAATTTTCGAAAAAAAAAAAAAAATTAATAATATCGGAAACAATAATTATATTATTGGATTGAATACAATGATATATTAAATAAATAACAATGTAGTATAATAAAAATAATATATATCAAATAATATTTGAAAAATGATAATTATTATTGTGATACGCTTTTTTTTTTTATACAGTCAATCTAAAATATATGTTATGATTGTACATCGAAACATCCCACGTTCAAATGTGTGAAACCTGATTGCGAAAGTTTTACGTTTTTTTTAATACGATTACGAACAGATGCCGCTTATCAAAGGTTTTTTATTTAACCGAAAGGCAAACGATTACGAACGTTTTTTTAGGCAACGTTGCCAAGTTTAGATATTGTATATTTTTCTTTTTATTGAGTCAAGCAAGACTACGCGAAATACACTCATGTTTCGTTTATTAGTATCTACTTGTAAAAAATAAATCAACACAAGATGTAGAGAGGACCTATCTATAGTTGTTACAATACTTACATGTTTGTATTTGCAGAGCCATTTAGTATAGAAATCCAATATGGAAATTACCGAGGCCGAAAGAGGTAAAGAGTTGAGTAATTTTAAATAGGTACTCTTTAGTTAGAAAACATAAAGATAATATACCCACTAATCTTTATGCTTACTAATTAATGTGTACCTGTGTAAAATTACTCAACTCTTTCAGCCTCGATTATTTCCATATTCCACACGAACGAAAAACGAAACGGACTCAAACGAATAATCTCGATTACTACTGCACGACTGTACGAATCTATCTATTTTTTTTTAATCAAATTTTAAAAATACATTCTACATCATATCTTATCGCCCTTCATATTAGTATCGGAAAACCATTATTGTTTACATTATTATATCATTCGATTATTTGAAAATAAGGCAAAATTTGAACGAATAATATTAAATCCGTTTATCATATTAATCCATATAACACCGAGTAGTCGTCCAAATCCGGCGCAATTGATAAACATCGAATTTGACAATGTCTCGGTAAAAATTATCGAGGTACGGGAAAAGGTACGTTCGCAATCGTATTCAAAACATACCTCTTTCAAAATATCCTTTAAATTTTAACCTTTTTACGTGTGCGTTGCATAATTTTTTCTTTTCGCGCAACGTTGTCAAATATATTATATGTAGTAAATAACCAGGCTATTTATTATTTATCACTGCCCGATAGAAAACTTTTGATAGAAACGATTGTAAATTACCATACAAGTACGGATACAGTATAATCGCGTATGATGAAGTATATTTATACCTATTGATAGTCGTTTTAGTGTTTCATTTGTGTCGGTTGGTGGTGTTTCTTTTTCGAAACGTATTACATTTATTTTCTAAAATTGAAAATGAGTTACAAGTCTGGAAAGATTTATTAGCGCACAAAGAGAACAAACGAAATTATTTACTAGTACCGTACTAGTAGTACGTGTCATACATGTTCAGAACCACTAACGGGGCGGAAAGTTTTCGTCTTACACACAAACGCACATTTCATTACAGTGCTCGTCTACCGACATTTATTGTAATGATTTTCTTCACGAAAACTGAGATACAAACAGTAACCAAATTATCAATCGTTGCCAGAGGAATAGAGGTAAATTAGCCGAAATTAAACGAAGTTGGAAACATCGTTTGTGACATCACGTGCAGTCGTACGCGCCTTTGAAACGCTGCCAAAATCATGTTCTTTGTGATTCCAACACCGCGCGGTTAGGTAAGGCCGTATTGCGCCCATTTAAAATATCCCACGATCAAAACAACATTTAACTATAAATTCAATTCTAAATAGTCTAGTTAGAAAAATGTCTTACACAAAATATCTTGTAGAGATCCCGGGGTATTATACATAAATGTAGTATTAAGTACTCCCATTCAAAATGTATCGCAGTTATTATCCCTTCTAAACAGTAAATACAATAGGTACACGTGATCGAGTTATAGACGATAATTGTTATTTTATATGTTTGTGATACAATCGGAATAGAAATTATACTGTACGTATACAGAGTCTCCCACGAAGATATACCAATCGCAACATCTCCTGAGGCAATAAAGATAATAAGATTCTGTTTAGCTTTTCTTTTAATTTAGAAAAATACAATATGTTGTTTTTAGTTTCTGAGCGTAGCGAGGAATGTATTTTTTTTCAATGACGTGTGCCTTTTTTTGTGTATGCGTACAACTTTTTTATCAGAAATATTGCTATCCAATCAAAAACTGATGATATTTTTTGTCGAATTTCGGATTAAATCGGTGTATTGAGCAGGTCATTGTTTATTTTTCCAAATGGATTTCATAATAATAAGGAAGAACCGGAAAAACATATTTGCGATTTATTTAATTGGATGGAGGTCCATAATTTATAACAGTTATGTACCTGCAGGAGCGTACCCAATAATTTTCAATGGAAGGGAATGTAGCAAAAAAGAATCGTAAATAAATCGTAAAGTCGTCTCCTTTATTTTACTCGACTATAGGAATTGGTAATTTAATAGCTGGATTCTAAAAAAAAAGCCAATTTTTAATCATTACATCAAGTTTTTTCTTGAACTTGGCTGAAATATACGCATTTCGGTATTAGTTTACTCATATTTTTTTTTGTATTTTTAAGCCAATTGATTTAACTATAAACCTGCATCCTCTACACATGCCACTGTATACCTGAAATTTTTTTTTTGGGGATACAATATTAAATATATATGTAAATTCCAATAGTCTTATTAGCTAATTATAACTACTTATAATCCATCAATAATTAGTTTTAATTAGCACATCGGCACGATTACTCTTATAATTTCTATACTCTTTATTACTTATGCTGCAGAAATATTTTTCTGATTTAAATTTTTGGATGGGAACTATTCCCCTGGACCCTCTCTCCATAAATAAGTTCGCCACTGGTTTCATCGGTCACACAACCTTTTTGAAATATAGACGTGTAACAAATCTGGTATACTTTTACCACTTTTAAGATTTAGTTTTATTACGTTTTGATAGGTAAAGGACGAAATGTTAAATTCGTTTTTATCTATAGATAAACATTTTTTAGTTAATTATCTCCATCTAAATAACATTATAATTCTACTAACTCGTGTCTTCATCTAGGTATTTTTAAATTTATCTCTATACAACAACGGTTATAGATAATAATAATAATATCATTTCCGGATGGATATCTTATTGATCTACGATCTGTACCCATTCAGTATCTTAGACAAGTATTGTGTTCAATATTCAGAAACAAAATTATATTTTACATTCATAATATTATTTTTGCCGTACTAATAGTATTATAGGTAGATGCTATTATATCGTGCAAAACATATTTAACTATTTTTGAGTACAAAAAAAAAAAAACCAATTATATCAAATAAACCACTTACCCATAATTTATTGGGCAAACATAATTTATTATTTAATTGTTGAGATAAGAGCATTGCTCGCAGTCACGCATAGCTATTATTATTTTAATATAAATTGCATATTATAGTAATGTGAGTCCTGAAAATTCACCGCGGCTTTTACAACGAGTTTTTTGTTGTTGTTTTTATTTTCTTTTTATAAAGAATAACCTAATAATTTACCAACTGTATACGAGAAAACTTCTATCTTCAGTTTTATGATTGAAAACTTCTTTATAGACTTGAAAATTACAAAACAAAAATAATAAACATAAATCACACACCATATAGAAAAACCAATCCATTATCCGCTACTCTCAGAATCTAAAATTATTATAGTCTATAATATTAATAACTTTAGACTTTAGTATAAATTTAGTATCAATAATATATTGTCGTTTTATAATTTGAAAACCGATAATCGTCTTTTCGTATTAGCAGGTATTGTTACACATTATATTTATACATTTTTCAGGAAAAATGGTCCAAAGGGAGAAGTAAAGCACGAGGCTCCGACACTGATGAGTCGCCTTCGGAATCTCCTATACTATCAAGATTAGTTCGTCCCGACACGTTACAACAAACCAAAACTTCAGACTCAAAAAATACTCAAAGTTCAATTACAAGTGGTAGGGTATAAAAGTTTCAAACTTATTGAGTTTCGATATACCTAAAAATGTTTTATTTGGATAAAATTAAAATGCAATTTTATTGTGGTTTGTATAATGAAATAACATTTTTATCACTAATAATTTATAATATGAAAATATTTGCCGGGTAAATAAATTACTCATTTATTTTATTATAATTTAAAAGAAATAAACATTTTGTGGTTATTTTTTTTTTTACAAAGTACAATAAGTTTTTTAAAGTTTTTCAAAAGCTGCTATACCAAGTTTTAAAAATGCGTGATAGACATGGTCGTATTGGCTCATCTTACAGTTCGGTTGTTTGAGGAATCCGAATTTGAGAATTTCATTAAGATTAAACTCAGTCATGTTAAGTACGGCGTAAAATAATTAACCGAGTGTCTGCAGTTTCAAGGACGGGGAGAAAAAATACTTCTCAATCTTCATTATTATATTATATGTTCGCTCATTATAATTTTATTCAGTAAAGATTCAAACTGATTAAAAAGTTAAAATACCATTGTATAAAGATAAAGTACATAATTAAGAATGGAACATTATTATTACAGCTTATAATTCGTATTAAAGTCTTCAAATACGAACACAAACATTTTTTTTTTATTCGGTGGTTTTTTTTTTGAAAATTGTATTAAACGTACTTACAAAATAATATATTAAATAAAATTAATTTCATTTTTATATTTGAATACAAATATGTCTATAATCACTGATAAAATATTTTTTATCCAAAGAGAATACTGTATAAGTAAAAATTTTAATATTTCTTACCTATTTGATTGTTTCAGAATTCGGTTTAACTCAAAATTGGTTCCAGAAAGTCGTTTCGCGTGATAATCCAATTCGGCTTCGGAGACAAAATTCAGTTAGATCCGAACAACAAATTGACATAATCACACCGGTAATTTTTAATTTAAATAAATATAGTTACAAATTAATTTCTTTACTATCACATGACTAATTTTTAACAGTGTGTAAATAGTAAAATGCAGACCTTTTTAAGTTTTAACGAGTAGGTTGAAAACAAAATAGGTTAAATTATTTGTTTATATATTTTTATTTATTTCACGAAACAGTTTTCTCTAAGGAAATTATCAATGTTAAATTAGAAATTTGAATGGAAATTAATTGGAATCAACATTGATTAAGTCGTTTATTTTAGAAAAGGGCATCTCGTACTACGAGGATAGGTAAAATATGCTCATTCCAAAATGTACAAAACGATTATTATTTTAATTAATTAAAATTTAACCTTAATTGATGTAATAATGGTACAATTTTATTTTACACATTTTATAATAATTGACATTTGTATACTTTATAATAAATTTATATCTTTTACAGGAAGGTGAAAATCCAGTCCAGAATGAAAATTTGCTCAGAAAATACGATTATTTCCAACTTAAAATACATTTGAAAAGAGGAAAAGATCTTATTGCCCGAGATAAAAATGGTACGTACATTATCAATTATTTACGATACAACGAAAAACTCCAAGAAATGTAATTTGGTACCAAATAATTATTATATTTTATTGAAATTGTTCATATTTTTAGGCCTTAGCGATCCCTACGTGAAATTCAAAATTGGCGGAAGGCTGATACATAAATCAAAAACTGTGTATAAAAATCTAAATCCTACTTGGGACGAAACGTTCACATACCTACTGGACGATGCGTTTGAACCGATTCAAATAAAGGTACAGACAAAATTCTATCGTAACAATAATTATACAATGGCGCGATTTAAAATTAACAAAACAAATTTTGATTATTTTTAATAGGTATTCTTTTGTGGTGGGAGTAGAGTCCGCTATATTGAAAATATATTGACTTATCAAAATGTTGTGCAGTCATTAATTTTAAACGTTGAATGATAATCTACGAATTAAGTCCGCCAAAAGGATATTGCGTATTTTTATTATACAATATACATATATAATGTATATTCGGTATAATAACAATAGGTCGTTTAATTTTTAGTGAACGTTTAAATCTGTAATTAATTCGGATAATTTAAAAGGTTAGCCTTTAACACTTTCAAATTTCACTTTATTTTTAATACGATTTTCAGTAGGTGTTTTTAATAATGCTATAAATCTCGTTTATTTGCAATAGGTTCCTTCATAGTATTATTTCAAATTCTGTATTTGTATATTGCGTGCTATTTAGATGTTTCGTGAAACGTACTTAGGTAAACATTTTAAATTAATACAAATAATATAGTAAATAAATAAAATTCTATACTTATACTAACATACAATAATATGTTTAAAAATATTTATCATGGAATCGTATACTCATACGTGGTGAACACAATATACATAAACGTTAATTGTTTACCAAGTCGAAGAATTTTCGTCAACTTAAGATTTTGCGTTCTAAGCAAATAATACAAAACGATTAATATTTATCCGTTATTCTTAATATGTTTCGTCGTTTCGGTTTTTGGTAATCATAAAAAAGTTATTTTTTTTCTACGAAGTGTGTAAGTTAGGAATTTGAAAAAAAAATAAGTGATATATTTATAGAATATAAATATAATGCTTTGTGGAGAATCATTAAGCTAACTGCAGGAAGCGTTTAAATTTCAATTTTCAGCTTTACTCGGGTCGGTTTTTCGAATAAATATTTGACAACAACGTAATGTAATTAATAAAAGCAAATTGAATTTCCAATCACTTGTAGGTTATTTCTGTGGTTAACGATAATTGTACATTTTTTAAATGTTCTAGTATTTCTTCGTAAGTTTCATTAAATTATGAATCGTATACATTTTTTTTTGGTAAAAGAAAAATGAAATTTTCTTTTAGTATTTACAGACGTGTTGGAAATGATTATTATTTAAAAATGTTAATAATAATAAAAGCAATTTACAAATTACAACAGACGCTTAATAATTATTGCACTTGTTTGTTTTCATTCGTCAATACCGTTGAAACAAAGTCATCAGTCAACGTAATCGATTTATAATTTTTATTATTTAATTAAATCGAATGACAAAAATAAAAAAAAAATAAATCTAATGAAGAAAAAATTACATACAATAATCTTATTAACTATATTACATTCTATTTTACGAGGCAGTATAATTTTGTGTTAATTTTTTTTTTCTTTTTAGTGATTATGTAATTTGACTCCTTCTTCTTGTTCTATGCAATTGATCGTATTCAACCTTTATATATTTTATGTATTTTTTTTTTGCTATGAATGTTTATTCACTAATAAATAATAATTAATAATTATTTACTGTTTTTGGATCGAAACGATCGCTATTTGTCACAAAATAACAAATTGTATTTTATCTTCGTTACTGCAGGTTACTTTAAGTTTAAATTGAATTTTATTCTACTCCAAAATGAAAATAAAAACCTAAAATATCGTCAATGTATTATCCTGTCTGATGTATTAAATTAATCGGCTCAGTTCGTAATCGAAAGGGCATTGTTTCAAATCTTTTATTTTCGTGTCGCAAACAGCTTGTTATTCTTCTTCTTCTTCTTTGGGTTTATTTCAGTAGGATCCGATTATCTTATTTTGATGTTAATTTTTTTTAATTCGACATCTCTCTATAACTGTCACAATTTGTCGTCTCGTTCTTGATGGCATTTCCGTGTCTTCTCTCCTCAATAACTACAAAAATATCCGTGTAACTTTTAACCTAACTTTCTAGATTCAATTCGATTTACCAATAATTGCTACGGTTTATACCAATAATTGAGCTTTAAACGTTGTCAGTACCGATAATACGGCATACTATGCCGATTCTCAGTCGATTTATAACAAATAAGTTATAAATTTAATATATTTCGTTAAATAAATCATATTAGATGAGTTTACGGTTAAATTATTACATTAGTTTACAACTAATTATCACATAATTACATTGAATGCTTAGTTATAAGACGTTTTGGCGAGAGTCAAAAAAAAAAAAAAAAAAAAAATCAAAGGTTTGTCAGGTTTTTTACATTTTTTTTGTTTTTCAAAAGGAATATCGTATAACCTATATTAACTCTAGATAATTTCTTTAAATTACGTATAAAAACTGATTCATCACATGTACGCTTATCATTAGATCCAAAATGAAAATATTGTGCTGAAATTAAATCCATACCAAAATAATTATCAAAAATATCTTATTTTGATTAAGCAGAACAAAAAATAATAATAACAGTGTAAATCAGTGGCGACGTAAACTTTTTTATTTTATGAGACAAACATAGATGTTAGAGGTTGACCACCACCACCTAAGTGTTATTAGACAGAGCCTCCACACACTGCTCCCTCCCATATTCACAAATTTACCATTCCACAAAGATATGTTTTAATTAATGGTAATTTTGTAGTTTATAAATATTAAAAATTAATAAAATTGGGCACTTCGTATATTTTAATAATGCATTACACCTTTTTTTTTATTTCGCTATCCGCCAATACAATAGAACACTGAACTAATGATCAAAATTCTGAGCTATATAAAACATGTGACATTTAATCGACAGAGTTAGGAGTCTGTGGGATTGTTTGTTTAAAATTAATTTTTACAATTAACGAATCATCAATTTTATTTTATCTTATTCGCAAAAACTGTGATTTATTGAAATATTTGCTGGTTACCTTAACAGTGAATATTTAATGAACAAAAGTTAAAGTGAATTAGTGAAACATAACATATTAACTTAATATAAATATATATTTACGTTATATTAATAACAATAAACTTTTAACTAAAGAATAATGTATTAAGTATGAAGTATCAATTGGCAATAATTTATATTTTTAGCCTGGAGGTACCACCACCCAATTCATGAATATGAATACCCTATCGCACCGCCACTGGTGGAAATAAACGCTGATGTGAATTAATTTAAAAACAGTCTAATTAATATTATTCGTATTTGGATAAACATGTTATTTATGCGAATAACTTTTCATTTACACAATTTAATTTGTATAGGTATTTTTTTAAATTTTTTTTTTTAGTCGATTGATTTTCGAGGTTGTCGATTTATTTATATTATATATTAATACAAACATACTTGATTTTGCGCCGCAATTTAATAGTTTAAATTACGAGGGTCTCCAAACTATGAGGTCAGCGAACAAGTTTTAACCGGATCTCTGATCTCTAAAATTTAATCACTTTACTTAAAATCCAGTTCTAACAACGTTTATCTAAAGAAATAAACATTTTTTTTTTTTTTAAATTCAGTTGTGATATTGAGTTAATATTTACCACCCTACAAATGGGAAAACTATGGATTTGTAATGTAATGAAACGCTTAAAATCAAACCTTGATCATAGTTGAAAAAGTATGAACTCCTTCCTTCCTTTGGGCCGGTTCAGAGATTTTAATATAGAGTTTTATAAGGTCCTTGGATAAAAATGTTTGGAGATTCCTGGATTAGAAAAATAATACACCGTTGCGTTAAATTATATTATTACTAACTTCGTAACAGTATTATAACAATATGCACGGTGGGTATACTATTTAACAATTTATAATACGGTAAAACATCCACAACTCAAAATTGAAAGGACCAACAATTTCTCTCGACTTATATATTATAGCTACTTGCACATCATAATTAATTTAATTGCTGGTAATTTATTCAATACTGCAAACCACTCAAAGCAGGTTTATTTGTTTAAAATTATTTAATTAACAAAGTTCAAAAGTAAAGATATCAATCAAATTGCCCATTAATTGTTTATTATCACTTCTTCTTCCATAGCATATTCTATTTTCTAAGAGTTTTTGCCGTTAACACAATCTCCTTACACTTATTTAACTCAATCCCGAACTAATTCTCTCCACTCTTGTACTCGCATACATTTCCTAGGCTGATCTCGAGTTTTCTCGCTCATTGATTTCCAATCCAAAACTGATTTATCCATATGTTTTGGTTTACTTCGAGAAGGATTTAAGGACTTAAGGAATCTACATAGAGCAAATACCGATTTTCCGCCTTTGTCGCCATCAATCATGTCTCTCTTGACTAGTCGTTATTCAGTATTATTCCCACGTACTGAAATTCGTTGTACTTGTCGAAAGTTAGAGCTTCCATACATCAGTGTCATTTCCTGCGTTATCTAATAATCCCGTACATTTGTTTTTTTTTCCTAGATTAATTTCCAACCATAATTATATTTTACTAACTACTAATTCTATAGTTGTGCGATAAAAATTACTATTTAATCTCTTATATTACCGCGAAAATAAAGAAATAGGAAGATACACAATAAATAGCCAATATGTAATCCGTAATATGTACGGACGGAGAAAATATAAATATATATGTAATACCAATTTTTTTTTTTATGTTATTATATCAAATTGCAATAACGACAAATCCGTTACAACGACAACGCAGTATCTTGTCGATTGAGTTGATATTAATATTCATAAGTTTTTTATGCTTTTAGCGATTTTACATTTTAGACGTTTAAAAGTTCTAGAAACTTTTTTTTTTAAAAAAAAAAAAAAAAAGAAGTATATAAGTATCATAATCGACGTTCGTCTTAAACCATTTGTTATTAGTCTGATTAAATTTATTTGCTATTACTTTAAATTATTTTAATTTTTTTTTTTTTTTGAAGTCATTTTAGGCGCCACGCGTTTTATCGACTCTTTTGGAAATCGATAACACGAAACTCTATGGAAAATAAGTCTATGTCACGAAATGTAAATTATAATTTTACTAACAAAATGCATAATACGTGGTATTTTTTTTTTTTTACATAACGCCCTTTCATGCACTACACCTTATACCACTATACATAATTGGTTTACGTAAAGAAATAAATTCAAATATATGTAATATATATTCTGTATAAAAAAAAAAATATGATAATAATAAAGAAAATAAACAAAAAATTATAATTTTTTTTTTTTAACTATTAAATCCCGGAATTATAATATTTGCATAAAATGTATAGATTGCGCTTTTATCAATTGAAATGTATAAAATTAAAATAGCGATGCAAATTGTCGATAAAGTTAAAAAGTCTGTTTTATGACATTTCCAAACGATACATTGACTATGGGAAACTGCAGACTAATACTTTGTTTTATTATTTCAGGTTTTTGATTACGATTGGGGCCTTCAAGACGACTTTATGGGAGCGTCGCAGGTCGCTCTGGCGGCCTTAGAATTGGGCAAGTGAGTTTAATATGTCGTAACTTCATTAGCCTAAAATAATTATTAATAATATAATTATTTTAATCGAGGTTTAAATCAAATCAGACTAAATCTCTCGAAAGCTTAATCTAACATTAATAATAATTAATAATTTCTACATTAAAAACAAAAAAAATATAATAAATAAGTAAAGAAGGTAGAATACATAATGTGTCCAAGTATCAGTACAATAATGTGTAACGTAAGAAACGATGTAAAATTACCAACGAAAAACCGTTTTACGCAGAGTATAATTTTTGATAAATTTTAAATTGAACTTTTCAAATTCTGAGCGCATAGCGAGAAATATATTGGTATTATTATTTTACTATGATGTGTTTTTTTTTCTTTTTACCTCTGAACGAATTTTCTACCTGAAAATTTTAGATCACTATGATTATCATGTAGCAGTGAATTACAAAAAAAAAAACCCGTTTTTTCTATTATTTATAAAAAAATCACCTTACCAATAAACTAACTTGACAAACTGCTAGTGATCAACACTCTATTGTTGTTGATTAGAACGAGTCTTTGGTCGAAAAGTTATTCACAGACAGAAATAAAAAGAGAAAAAATAAACATCATAACAGCAAAACCGATACATTCCTTGTTTTACGCTCGGATTCCAATAATTTGGTAATTTGGTAATTCGTATATGGTTTTTGTCCGCCTCAACTGATAAATTATCATTATTATTATAGTCGGTTTTTTTTTCCAGACAACACGAACTGTGTCTGCAATTGCGGGATACCCAAAACGCCGAGTACCTCGGTGAGATTTATCTGGACGTGACTTTAACGCCACAATCGCGCGAAGAACGCGAACAGGTAATCGACTTATAGATTAATCATTAGATATACGAATAGGTACCCATTGTACTATAAATTCGATTGACGTTTCGTATAAATATAATTCATTTAATACGAAACCTACGCGTAAAGAACGACAATACAACGTTTGAAATTGCGTATTGTACGCGGGATACGTTGTTTTACATTATCGCATCCTGACAAAAACAACCTGTTCCATAGATCGTGATCGTCAAATCTTTGTTTTTTTTTTTTTGGAAAATAATACGACAGGCAAGGGTAAAGGAAACGAATCCATTGTTGATGCGTTAAATGCGCTAAATATAATTATTTTACTTAATTTTTAATCGCATTATGATTACATTGAGTGTAGGCACCAGGAGATATTGTAATCTATGTCGATTTTTTTTATGTTCGGTTAGGTATTTATTTTCATACGAATATAATTATTTGTATAAACTATCCGTTCGTAATGCGTTTAGTTCGTTAAAATTTTTTACATAATATTATTCCTAGTGTAACAGAAAAGCTATTAATTTTACCGACATTTGTTTATTTGGTCGAAAGCACTTTTTCCGTTATTGAAATGCTCCGAATTTTAACGCCGTACTTTAAAATGTGCGAAATTTATCATCTAGCGGTACTTTATTTGGAATACTAATCTTGTATTATAGACAGTGTTTAAAAAAACTGTTTAAAAATGACGATACATTGGTTTTATTTTTGTTGATTTCCGGATTATGTCCGGTATTTTTATATATTTTTTTGGTATTATTATTTATCGGGTAAAAATAATGTACTCATAAGTTTCATATAATATATGAACGTATGTCTAACCACTATACAGGTTGAAAGCTGGACACAGATGTCATTTCTGAAAAGCGATTCGTTTTCCAAAATAATTACTGAAAATTGGAAAGAAATGACTAAATACCACGGTATATCGGTAAGGAAGGGAGAAATCCTGGTTTCATTACGATAATGGTGATGAATTTTCGCACTATTTTATTAATGTTTTAAAAAACTACAGGAACATTAAAATATATACACTGTCTACCTTTATATTTAATATTTGAGTAATTTACATATTTCAAAAATAATTTAATTTTTCATACAGTTTTTAGAAATGAGACGTTATAACACAATATAATATATATGTATTTTTTAATTTAAAAATGTCTATAATTTCTAAAACATTTTAATAAAATTTACAATTTTAATTTAGACGGCCTAATATAATCTATATTATAACAGTGACTTATGTAAGTATGATTCCATAGGTATTTAAAAAACACAAAGAAATATAAATATTAAACACGTAATCGTCTTTGCGGTAAATTATTTATTTGTTCTCATATTATAAAATATATTATCTTCTGTTTCTTTTCTGGTTTTTATAACTCTAACAATCGTTAACTTTCATAACTCTAAAATAAGACGATATTTTCCACAACCACATTTTCCAGAGCTTCCATCAGATTTGCTCCCAATTTACTTTGGTTTTAGCTACTTTAACGGTGTTTCCATCGTTTCTGTGCATTAATTGTCTGAGGCTTTGTAACGTTTGTAATTTATGAAGCTTGTGACTGACGCCATTTCTACTATATCATTTAATTCCTTATTGAATTTCCTTCTCTGTCATCTAAAATTATTATCAAACTTTTGGCCATAAATCTTCCGCCGAATTCTATTTTCAAAAATTCCTAATCTTTGTTCTGTAATATTGGTAGTATGTCTCGTGTCTCGATCTATGACTTAGCGTGGACTTTATTATTTACGTATACGAGACATTTATAGATATTTAGATTCTGAGTGGACTGAGGAATATATTGGTTTTACAATGTTGTTAACAAAGTTAACAGAAATTTTGTTCCTGTTTTCAAGTATAGCACTTTTTCTGAAAATAAATTGTATCTGAGTGGTACTTTAAGAAAGTAATTTTTAAATTTTTCAAGAGGTTTTTCTAATAATTGGAAAAACAAGAAAAAATCGTAGGAAAAACTGAAAAATTTACGAAACATATTTTTTTTTTAAATACTGATTTTTGTTGTGATTCAGTTTAAAATATTCTTGAAGACTTGAAATTTAGGCAAAAACTTATACTTATCTTTTCTAGATGTGGTAAAATTTTCAAAACATTTGAGCTATTTTTAGACATTTTAATTTTAAAAGTTTTTAGGTTATTTTTATTCATTGAATAAAAATAACTCAGTAAATACAAATATTAGACCAAACAGAAATCGTTGAAAATTTAATGGGTTAAAAAAAATTTGTGTATAATGTGGATTTTTTTTTATAACAATTTTAGTATCAAATTTTGACGAAATCTTAATATTATGGTTTTTCAAAGCATGTAAAAACAAACTCCACTCAGTTTCGTTTTTCGTTAGCAAAGATTAACTTGCGTTCAGATATACATTAAATTCTCCTCTATATCCTACCTTCCCAACTGTTCACCCACAATAGTAACCTACCCATCGTACGAAGTATTTCCGTATTTTTTTTTATTTTTTTTTTATTTACGATCCTTTAAAACTATTTAAGATCAAATTATAAAAGATTAAAATAATTCGTGTAATATTTTGTTAGTTTAGAGATTCAAGCGATACGTAAATGGACTGTCTGTTATATATAGTACGACTATTAACTATTTCAGAATTGGTTAAAAAAATATTTACTATCATTATACACTATACGAATATTTTTAATTTTTAGTCTGTTTTATTGAAACTTACAGCTCATTATAGGGAAACATGGTAGTATTTTGGTTGTATATTATTTTTAAAGCAATGGTTTTTATTATAAATTGTGTCGTTTTAAACTGCATTTTATTTTTTTATGTTCAGACATTTTTGAGAGTGGTCATTTCACTGCATTTGTAAACATTTAAGATACAAAAAGTTTAAATTAATTTCTGTTCTGAGTACACGATAAGAAGTTATTCGTTTTACTGTGATGTTTTGTTTTACATTTTTCCGGGAAGTTAAAAAAAAAAGTAGCTTAATAACCAGGATTTTTTCAACTAAATTAATTTGATCAGTTTTTTTTTGAAAAAATCACCAATAGGTACCGGTTTTACGAGTTCTGATCAGAATCGCTTTTTTGATTTTTTTGCTTTAATTATACAATAATTAATATAAAAACTTCTTATCTAGAACTTTAGCTGACCCAGAATACGGCTTTATTGTTTTCCGGATCGTTATTCCGTTTTCAGTTTTATTTTAAGAAGTGAGCTTAGGTATATATTAATCATACTATCATAGAAATTAAACTTTGAAGACATAATTAGTTAATAACGTTCATAGCGTTAATTGTATATCTTAAAATTAATTATTATTCTGTAGTTTTAAAGTGAAGTGCCTTAGACAGAAATAAAAATAAAACACTCGGAGCAATTATAATAATTATAAATCGAGATAATGTAGTCTGTTTTTAACCTACAGACAATAATATATTCTATTATATACGCTGTACAGGATAATCCACTTATCACGAATCAACAGTTTTTTCGGAGAATGTTTAGGGAATTTTTTTTCTGTTTTATTTTTTTTTGCTAATCATTTTGAGATTGTTTAAGTTTTATTTTAAAACTATTTGTTAATTTTTTACTTCTACTTCTCATGCCTTAGTGAACCCATACTTTCGATTTCCTATCAGAAACTCATATATGAATGTTGATAAAATTTTGTCTGAAAATTTTGATATGTATAACAGTATAATATCGGATTTACCGTTTATGAATTAGATTAGTTTATATCGGAGCAGCAGCAGGGAAGACGTATAAATTTCATATCCGTTTTTAGATGATAAATTCATAACATTCACTAGTCCCCCGGTCTAAACTCTTGTTATAACTTATAAACGGAAAATCCGATATCAATGTTATACGTTTATCTATTAAGTATTAACATTTTTAAAAAATATCTTCATATATTTGATTCTGTGTTTAAAAGTGGTGTTGTTTTTTGAAAATCCAAAGTGTTTAATTCGCTTCAGGTATAAGGGCAGGGGTAATAAGCTGAAAATTATGTTAAAATAAAGTGTCAACGATTTCAATAATGAATGGAAATAAAAAACAGAAATCAAATTCACTTTAAATCTTTAGAGAGAAATCAATGATTCACGATAAGTGGATCGCTCGGTAAAGTGTAAATGATGAATATTCATCGCAGAGAGATAATGTTTGTGTATACCTCACTTATATTAAAACGTTTATTTTCGCTTTAAATAATTTTATACTTTTAACACGGTCATATTATCTCGACTCGTAAGAACACTTAAGGGTTAAACGATTTTTTTTAAAACTTACGTCAACGCAAAAACAATAGCTTTTTATATTTTTCGTTATGAATAATACATTATAAAGTAGGACGTACGAGAGTAGTTTATAAAAATCATACATCTCTCGCTTCCCATATAATATCAAAAATGTTTTTTAAAATAAGGTATATAGTGCCTTATTATTTGGTTTTGTAGACGATTATTTAAGTGTTAAGCATTGTCAATCCCCCGTCAATTAATCATCAACAATATTGATCACACGACAATATCGATCACAAATGTAGTGTTCCATGTTCGAAGAAGAGTAAAAAACATTTTTTTGAATATTTTTTTTTTTTAAGTAGCCTTTAAAAAACTTTTGTACAACTACTTCGTATTATATATTGTCCTAAATGGTTTCCTGAAAGCAACGGTTTTATCTTTGCTTTTAAATTTAAAATATTACCGGATCGTGCCAAAATGAGGTAAATGAGACGAGTTTTCTGCAGCGCACTCAACTGCAGTACTTTTTTCTCCGTTTAAATTATAAATTATAAGTTAGAATTTTAAATAACGCAAACTTAAGCTTTGTATTAAAATATGTATTTTTTCATCACGATTTCTGTAAACCTAGTTAACAAATTACTCCACGGTAATAACAATTAATTCTATTGAACATTTAAAATATGTATTTCTTACATAATAATCTTTGTAATTATGTTAAATTTTGAACGTAACAAGGATTGTATTGGTTTTATTATTATGTGTGCTTTTTTTTTTTTCTGTTTGTTGTATGTTGGAATTTTTTTCACTGGATATTTAGCAACCTGTAATATACTTCAAATTTAATTGTTGTACTCCAATGAATTTATTGTCTGACACTAGTCAAATATGATATAAATCTAAAAATTTGAAAAAGATAAAAAAATATATCGTTACTTATTAAAGTTCTCGACGAAGTATAATAATGATAATACGTCTGAAAATTAATTGCATATTATATTATTAAAAAAAAACATTTGATTCAGAGTCTTCAAAAAACTGGAAAAATGTCTGAAATGGGAAGAAAATACAAATGTCAAGTCTGGAGTTCGGTAGTGACGATCGTGTTGATTAAAATAAAACATTTTTCCATTGCTGATGGTTTGTGCGACCCGTACGTTCGATTTAGGTAGGTACCTATCGATTTGTACAACGTTATTTCAATGGCGTTTGCAAATAAATATAAATCTCAACTATTATATTATTAATGATTATGTTCAATTGTCGTTTATAGATTGGGAGGTGAAAAATACAAAAGCAAAAGCAGTAACCGAATGCCTACGCCTACTTGGCCGGAACAGTTCGATTTGCATTTGTTCGACGATCAGACACAGGACCTGGAGATAAACGTGTGTGCCAAAGACCGTTCGCGCGAAGAGATAGTCGCAAGGTAATTCATTATCACCTATACGATGATAATAATTTTTCATACTACACAAATCATCTTAAATATTTACGATTAACTAACCGAATTGATTGATTTTTTTCTTCTTTTATTTCTTATTAGTAATAGTATTAACAGTGCTTTAACCCAAACTCGTATTTGGGATCGATTTCCGGGGGATGGGGGGGGGGGTTAAAATATTTTATGAACTTGTAGTTAGTTTTCGTTATATAATAATATATACCTATTTTAATAATTTCGGAGAAGGTGGGGTTGAACCCCTATCCTCTCTATCTACAGGCTGTACCCGGGGAAGTTTTTGAAGAAACAGGCACCGATCTTTCTTTGTCATATATTTCTATAAATAACATATATATATATATGCTTATATATATTCACATTTATCAATCCGTAGGGCGATCTACAACTTCGATATTCTTCATTCTAATCGATTGCTTTCATTTTATTTTGGTGCCTTAAACGTGTTGGCTCTTGCATCATTTTTAATTTGTCCTATACAAGTGTTATGGCTGTTACGTACGAGGTCGTCATGTAGTTCTGTTTCCTTTCCTTCGACTTCTATAGTTATAACTAAAACCCTTACAACTACGTTATGCAGCTCTTCCGGGCTGTTACAGGACATGTCTAACTATTTTTCAACGTCTAGCTCTATTGCATCGTCCATGAATTTGCATTCCTAGTACCTGTTCATAAGTTTTCCTCTCCATCCAACTTTATATTCATACGCTTCCGGCACTACACATCAAAAGCATCTCGTTATTTCATCTCGTATATTGATCAAAGTTATACATTTATATAATGTTGCTATACGCTCTAAACACATGTTTTAATAAGTGTCTTTTTAATATTGCGATTTATATTTTTTGAAGTGAACCTTTTGGTGTTTTTTTTCTTTAAAATCGACTCTCACAAATCCTATGCGTTCCTTGATTTCTCGGTAATATTCTTAAATTATATACACACATTTCCCATTTTCCAACGAACTGCAGACAAATAACAAACGGTATCGTTTTACAATAAGTATATTCAGGATATAATATTAAAATCGCCAACGAGAAACGTATTATTTGTCATCGATGAAAAAGGTCGAAATGCCGATTACCTACAAAAAAAAAAAAAAATGTGGAAAACCAATCCTGGGACCGTACGTTTATCGTCGAAATACTGTTGTGTATATCGCCGAAATCCTCTTAAAACGATTTATTATATTATTTCCGGACTGGAAACGAAAATGTAGAGGGATATAAAAAAAAATAATAAACAAAGATAAGTAACGTTTCAATGCGGCGTTATTCCGCTACGCAGTTAAAATATTATATCGTTATTATATCGCCATCTTCGTCATACTATTACTTATATTACTTATTGAGTATTATTACAGTCGATTAAATATACGTACGTTTCTCCCTGAATATTTTACATACTTTTTAAATATAACGTAATTATTTAGGATATTTAAGTATACTTTAGGTTAAGATTGCATTTCCATATTGTATTATGTATTAACATTAATCATACATACAAATATGCAATACATTGGTTGCACCACCGCAATCAATACTTGTTTTTAGAATTTGTGTACACAGTGTAAAAAAAAAAAAATAATAAATAAAAATCGTTGTAAAATCAATAAATTTTAAAAGTTCTGCGTGGTTGTAAAAAAGGCCTTTTTTTCTCTACAAGAAATGCTAAAATGATCGTGTAATAAAATTTTCGTAAATTGTGTGATGACATATAAAATATTATAATATTCCCGTGGAGCAATAAATAGATTTTGTTTGTTTGTCACTTATAACTAGATTTTGGAACTTATTACCCCTACTATTACTTATTACTTAAACCGCTTAAAAATGTCAAAAACGTTCTGAAAAAAACCACTTGATAAATATTCAATATAGCAACGGTTAAAGGGTTTAAATGTCCCTCTTCTAACGACTTTAAATTATTAAATGTAATTTTCTTAGGCTACACAAATTATAAACCCAAAGTTATTTTTTGTATAATACGTATAATTTTATTTAAACAAAATAGCTTTTTGTTAATCATTTGCGTCGTGTTAGAAAATTAAATTTAATGGTTTAGAGTCGTTTGACGGAGGGCCTTTAAACCCCTCTACCACTTAGTCTAATATTATTTGATTGAAGTGCTTTTTTTGACGTTTTTAAGTGATTTTTTTGTGAATTTTAAGTTAAATGAGTCCCGAGCCCTTATAACGCCTGAATCGAAATAACAGTACATTTAATATGAGTTTGACCGTATAACAGATCGGGTCTATAAATATTTTACATTAAATAGACTTTTTGAATAAGTACCTACTTACTTATGTGTCAATTTCTTATAAAATATTTGTCTGTACTTGTATATTGATACAATATTATATCGTACCATTTTGTCGTATGTTATGTTACTCTCAAATACAAATTGACAGAATTTAGAGCCGTAAAAATTATAGACATAATACTTATAATGTATGGCATTAGTTCGCCTATAGCAGCTTTGTTAGAAATACCCTGGCATAATATGATAAGACCTAAACTGTATACTACATTTTTCTAACAAATCACTGTTTTCTCTGTCGTTAATCTTCTCTCTTTCTTTAAATATTAATAGGCCCCCAGACTATAGATGGACTTGCGTTGTGTTGTCATTATTGTGCTATTATCTTTTTCTGACCGTTTTGGCCGTGACTGGACCTCGCTTTACGTTCGTTTCTTTATACGTCTGTGGTAGAAACTAATGTTTAAAAGAGCTGCACTCGCAAGGACAAAACGAAAACAATCGCGTAAAACACTACAACTAACTATCAAGCAAATGTTTTCTCGGGTAACACCATAATTATATAGTTGTCATTCGACAACCGCACGGCGTACCTACGTTTGAACGACCGAAAGACTAAAATATCCCGTTACCCGAACAGGGCGAAACTACAAAAGTCCGTTGTCGTGATGTACAATAGTAACTATAATAATAATTGTGTGAATACAAATGGCAAATTAACCGAACTGACCGATGCCGTTTAAGAGTATGCCACCGACATTTCTCGTCTCCGCCTAAAATGGTCAATACAATTATGTTAAATTTGTATTTTCGAACTCCCAACAGTACTCAGGATCTATATTAGAAGTCTTAAAACAACAATTTCACCGAATTAAAGACGATAACATTATTTCACGGAGGTATTTTTCGTTATCATAATTCCCACAGACTGTTCGTATAGTTAAAATCGAAAATATGATAGAATTTAATGATTAGTATGTACATTATGGTATAGGCGAGTTACCAGACTTGTGACTAAGTTAGCCAACAGGTACTAAATCTGTGTAATAATTCAGGAACTGACAAGTGATAATACACATCCGTGATTCGTGAATTTTATTGATCCAGCGGTAACACTTAGTCATTGAGTCACAAATCTATACCATATTGAATCAATGCATTCAGTTCACATAAAAGAGTCAACTCACTCACTCACTACCCATACATCTACGAACCTACCAGGTTTGGGATTTCGTTCGCAGATAATTTATTTTCTGTGGTTTTATAGCGTTGTATAAAATACGAATAAGGGGCGCTAATATGACGCGATTTTTTTTTTTTTTTTTTGAAACGTTCGATGATAACATTTTGGGCCGTTATATTATTGCTCGTTGTGCAACCATACAGTATCGATATCGGCGGTAAAAAATGACAGTTAATGTTCAGTTAACACGTCTTTAATCCGGTGAAATAATTTTCGTTTTAAGTCTGTTATAACAGCCTCTACAATAATATTGGGAGTACGCAAACACATTTATGCGACACACGTTAGACGTCAGACAACCGTTTCAAATACCGGTGCAGCGTCCTGTCTAATAACGAGTTCATTACGGAATTAATTAATATTCGCATACTGGAGACGGTGTTCATCACGTCACGTCGTCTACGATAATAAAATATATTTTCGAAACATCGACTGTGCAAATAATTAAATTAAAATGGAAATAATGGCGGTAAAATACTGAAAATTAAAACCGCAAGACTGCATTGTATAATATTTAAAAAACCGAATGCATGCATTCGAAAATCAATGCGTTCTCGACATTTTTCACGAAATGAATCTTTGTAAGGTTTATTTTTAATTTTTTTTTTTATATAAACTCTTTTTCTACCAGAAAGCTTACTCCGATGCATAAGGTATACACCTATATATAGACCTTTTCCTGAAAGGAAATTTTCTTGGGGTGGTACTTTAGGGAGCTCATTTTTCGATTTTCTCATCAAATGTGTAAAACTGAAAAAAAAACGGAGGAAAACGAGAAAATGTACGAAATGTATTAGTAAAATATTACAGTTTTTTTTTCCTGTGAACGACATTTTTACGAGAAATCTCGCTACGATAATATGATATATATATATATTGTTGACAAAGTATCATTATCAACTGAACTCCGTTCAGAATCGTTTTTCCGTTAGCATTAGTTTATCGTTGCTTACAGACATATATTAAATTTCCTTCTGTATCCTGCCTTCCCAACTTCCCACCAACAACAGTGGCTGCACTCATCCCCATTATTCTAGAAAAGCTATTTACCTATATGCATACAGAATTATTATGTATCTATACTAGCTGAGTATTACCCGTCGCTGCCGTGTTCAAGTATAAAAACATTAATAATCAATGAGTAAATTCGATATCGCGTTGGCTCAAAACTGTACTATAACAATATTATAATGTATCGAGAATATTGTCGGACGTAATCCGGTGTAACGATATAATGTCTTTGGGTTTTAGCACCGTGATCGACCTGAGTAAACTGGAACGCGAGAGGACGCACAAAATCAAACACAAGTTTAACGGAGGCGACGGCGGCGGCGGCGGTGGTGGAAGCGGCAGCGGCGGCGAAATCCCGCACAAAACCGCGGCCTCCGGCGTGCTGTACCTGTTGCTCACCATTAGCGGCACGTCGACGATCGAAATGATTACGGACCTGTCCGACTACGACCGGGAGATCACCGAACAGGAGCACATCCGGGAAAAGTACTCGGTGAGGCGGACGTTTTGCGATCTGCGGGACGTGGGCGTGCTGACGGTCCGCGTGTACAAGGCGCTCGGACTCACGTCCGCCGACCTGTGCGGCAAGTCCGACCCGTTTTGCGTGCTCGAACTCGTCAACGCCCGGCTGCAGACGCACACGGAATACAAAACCCTTTCGCCCACGTGGGACAAGATATTCATGTTGTGAGTATATTAATCGAACGCGATAAGCCCTTTCGGATTCGCGGCATAGCAAAGACGTCAATCGTCTCACTCTCTCCCTCTCTTTCTCTATCTATCCCTCTTACTGCCGTCCGAAACATCAGCGTGCGTGTCGGTGAACACGCGTGTTATCCCGATTATCGATTATCCCTTTTTCCCCGACGACAAATGTCCGATGTAATTTTCATTTTTCCGAAAAATCCCGGCGAGACAATAGCCACGAATGACGATGAATGACGGGTTTTTATCACGAATAATCGTCTTCGACAAAATATTTCGAAGGGCGCGCGCGTGTGTGTAATATTACATAGTCTGTAATCTGGAATATAATTTATTACCGGACAATAAAAAAAAAAAAAAATCAAAACGGTTCAGGTATATCACTAATATAATAAACGGTTCTTATCAGTACCTGCAGCTTAACTGGAATAAATGATACGGTTACTTTACTCACAAGTGATGACTAACTGTTTTAAAATATATACCTAGGTTTTAATGATTTAATGATGTGGACGCAAAATAATAATATAAATATTAGGTTTAAATATTTCCTCAAATTGATAGTAGTCACCGTTCACAACTATAGCAGCCATATAATGAAGTACGAACTGTTATCGCTGTGTCGTTTATTCCAAGTAGATAGGTACTGATAAGAACTGTTTATTTTATAAGTAATACAGACCGTTTTTTATTGTTTTTTTTTATTATTACTATCTGGTAATATATTCTGTAAATAATGGTTCAGTTAATTCCGGAATAGCCCAGCAGTACGTGTATATGTTATCATTTTTAATATCTATTATAGCCTATACCTTTGTTATCGACATGGGTTCGGTTTTATATTTCAGACAGTCACAGTGTGACTTTTAATTTGTTGATACTTGATTTTTCAAATTAATCATTTAATATTGTGGCCAAAATCGTAAATACGTTTTTTCGTTTATTTATGAAACATTTTTTTCGAATATCGTGACTTTTTTTTTTAGACATTTCGGGAAAAATGTCACTGGGGAGAAAAAAAATAAACTTCTGTTAAGAAAAGTATCGAGAATAAAAACTTTTGTGAATAAACGTATTAGAAAGAAAAAAATGTTAAAATACAGAGTTGGAAAAGTTTCTTCTTGCCGACTACCCTATCACTGCGCACGTGTCCCAGACTGGAGAAAAACGATACGCAAATCATATATTTTTTGCAATAACCGTGATCAAAGCAAACAATTTACTTTGACGTGCTCGTTTTTTCCGTCGTGGTAATTTCGTGAAAATGCGAAATGAAAGAAAAAAAGAGCAGACACAGTAAATCATATTTCAGATTTTACATATTGTGACCTGTCTGGCATTTATTCCTCGCTAAAGACCAACTTTTTCTCGAACGCATACAAAACAAATTTTTAGCACACGCTGCCTATGTTCTCGAGATTCCTTACACACGTCATGACTATACTTTCATACGTAATGCTTTAAACATTCCTACATTTCGCTCCTGCCTCCTTAAATCGAATCGAGATTTTATTTCTGCAGTCCATTGTAGGCCCTTGCACGCACCTGACTTGCTTAAGATAATTTCCTTGAGAGTTCCCTTCTACAACACCCATACAATTTCTATTTTTTCGTTGTTCCAACTCACTCTATTTTCCATGGCTATAACCACCATCTTCATCGTATGCTACGCTTCTTAACCTCTTTATAAATACTCCAATTTTCCCTCTTGTGTATATTATCTCCAACATGTAGTAATTTTTGAAAAAAAAAATCGTATATTTCGCCTTTTTTAGTTTTTCCCGATTATTACGAAAACAACTTTGAATATCGAAAAACAACTTACTCTGTCAGTGGCGAAATATTAAAAGAGAAACAAAATCGATAAATTGTAATTATTGAGTTGGAGTAATATTTCTGGTAGAAAACATCGTGTAAACATACAATAAAAACAATGAAAACGGAAACGCCGCGGCGCTTCGTAAATATTTACCGTTTTACATAAAATTTTATTTCTGGTTTTCTTAATATATCAAAATGTATGGAAAATCAAAAAAAAACGACCTCCCTCCAATTCACCATCGACGGAAAATCACTTTTCAGAAAAGGCGCCACAGTCTATATTTCGATTGTTCACAGACACACAAAATACAAAAACACGCATCATAGTGAAACCAATAGATCCCTCGCTACGCTCCGAATCTAAAATAATCCATATACAGTATAATAATAACAATATGTTGTGTGTGACGCACGATTTCTAAATGAGTGGGTGTAAAATTATCGTACACGCGCTGGTTAAAATGTTGAAAATTCGCTCAAAATATGGATTTCGATACGCCCAATATTTCTAAAAAAAAAAAAAAATAACATCCCCTATTCAATCTAGATACATCCGGCTGAAATCGTTCGCGAAAACATTTGAATAAAACACATTGTATACCCGCTGTTCCGTTTCGGATTCGTTTCGAACCATTACTGCAGGTGTACACCATTATTCTTCGGTACGACCAATAAATAATAAGTCGCACCCGAGCGTCACGATGATAAATTATTATTCGTTAAAAATATGTGTGCGAGCTCATGAATCACGAAATTGTAATAATGGTCACTCGTGATGTCAAGTGGAAATGACGGTCGCTATTTTTTTTAGTAAATCGCCGGATAATTGGATTGTTTTATTTTTTCTTGAAATGAGCTCGTATTAGCCGTATCGCTCTTTCAAAACACTTCAATAAACAATTCGTCTTGACTATTTTTCGTGCCTACGTTATCGTTTTTTTCGCATCCCTGTACGCGTAGACATGTTCGCTTTCAAATTCCACCGTACTTGTATAAATGAGAAATATAGCGACAACAACGACAGCGTTTTGTTTTTAGAAAACACGTTTCCTGCGCATAGCATACAAATAGCCGGTTTCATTATTTTAACGAACACGCTAAATTAAAATAAGTAATGGAAAAAATACCACTAGAGCTGCAGTACGTATACGAAAAACAAAAAAAAACGAAAAAATATATCGTAGAATGAGAAACGGAAATTCTCAAAAACTCGTTAAACGATATTTTATTAAATATTTTTATCCATAAACAAAAACCAAAGGAATCAAGATTTATTAACCTTAGGTATATTATTTAATTTTTCGAAATTCACGATTCATTTCGTCTCGTAGAATAATTTTAGGACGCAGGAGAAGGACAATCATTATTATTTTTTAATATCGTTGATGTTTACGTTCCTAACGGAGAAACAATTCATTTGAGTAGTTTATTAGGCATCCTGCGTTGTTCACAATATATGTATAATTGTAAATTTGTATATTTTACGAAAAAATTCAACGAATGCAAACTGCGAAACGTTTCGAAAGTAAACGGAAAAACAACAATAACTGCTATCGTTCTTTTAAAACGAAAATGATTAGATTATGATTTATTTTTCATCAAATTAGTATACACGTCTCCGCGTGTATAATGAAATGTTTGAAAATAAAATAAAAAATCCACTATTGCAGCGGTTGTAAATAGTTTATTTCCCTGTGCGAATAACAACGGAGCGCCCCATTAATTTTGTTTTGTTTTACAAAAACGAATCCAATTACCTAGTTTTCTTATGTTATATATAAATTTAAATGTTAGAGTTACGCATAATTTCAGAACAATGAGAAAAATAACGAATATATATATTTTGTTTCCCCTTGTCTGTTCTGTACGCGGATTTACGTGTCCACAAACACTACAAGGTCATAAATAATTGCGTAACAATGATTTATTGAAATATAGGAGAAGGATTATGGATTTCGAAAATTTAATTTTCTTAGATCAGATCGGCTACAATAATTTGATGGAAAAACACTTAATTTAAAAAAAAAAAAAAAAAAAAAAAAAAAAAACTCGAGGCGCATATAGTGTACGGAATATTTTATTTTTTAGAGGTCTGAGGTATTTATAGAGGTATTTATCTGAAATATTATAACTTTGGATTATAGTTTTATGAAGGTGCCGAAACTGCAGAGTCGTAAATCGTAAAACATTTCGGCAGCTCCGAGGGTCCAACGGGCTCCGCGATGGTATACCCTATCAGAAATTATTGCGTTCGTATTTTATCCGCGACAAGGCGTTCTAAAATGGAGTTTTCTAAAAATTCTATACAGACTCTTATAGAAGAGGTTTACACGGCTAAACACTTATAGCCGTTTAACGCGAAAGAGGCGGCGAAAAATGACGCCGTATTATGTTATCAAAGAACGTGGGTTGTCGCAATATGGAAACAAATGTAACAAATTTATTATACAAATCGTCTACAATCATATATAATCGTTTATAAGTTGTCGTAGGCTAATGGGGACCGTTGCAGCCACTGTTGTAGGTGGGAAGTTGGGAAGGTAGGTTATAGACGGGAATATTATGTAGATCTGTAACCAACGATTAACCATTGATAACGAAAAACGATTCTAAGCGGAGTTTGGCTGATAGTGATGCTTTGTCGACAGTTTACAGTCATATTTTGGTAAAATAATTACATATGCATTACACATTTTCCTGAATAATATTTGTTTAATATTGTACCTATTTTCCCGGTTTTTACCATGTTTTTCCAGTTTATTGACAAAACTCGTGGGAAAATCAAAAAAATAACCTCATTAAAGTACCTCCCCAACCAGATTTCCTTTCAGTAAAAGTGCTATTATTGTAAGTCGAAGCAAAACTGCTGGTGGAAAATTTAAAATACAAGTCGAAAGTAGACTGTAATTTACTAGCGGTGAAAAACAATGCTATGATATTATTAATATTCTTATTACTGAATTTTCTTCTAACCAACAAAGGTTTTTACCCTTTTTTAACGCTTACGTAGTCATTTTTTCCTTTTGTACTGGTTAACCGTTAATTCGCGTTAGTGTCATAAGAAATCAGAAAAAATAAAAAACAAAAAAAATTTGACTTCGTGTGGTGTTTCCAGACCGGCTGTTACTAAAATAACGGATAGTTCCGTTTAAATTTGATATTTGAATGTTTTAAAACGTCGGTCGGGATACGAAAGTGCGGACAAAAAATAATACATGATCCCAAAGAAAACACAGTTGCAAGCTTGCGAATATTGGAAATCTGTTTTCGGACTATTTCTTAACACGTGGCTAAATCTGACGTAAAGTACGATACTTCGTCGGTGACATATGTGACACCCGTGACGAAACGAACGTGGTCTTTGGAATAGCGATTGTTTCTCGAATTTGTTTAAGACTTAGAGATGAATAGCTGGGTCATTGATATAAAAATTACTGAACATTAATACTCATTTACTATTAATATAGCGAAAATAGGTCAATGAATCGGGATATATTCTGTATACATCGGGAAATATTTATGGGTGGGTACTGCAGGCCGCAGGGTTTGTTGAACGAATAAGTTGTTTCTGTGTTATTTTAGGTTATTTCTTTTACTCCAGTAATACACGGATCTTATCCGGCTCCTTATAAAAACGATCACGCCCAAAATAACATTTGTTCTTGGCTATATTTTGAACATTATGAATATTATAATGTCTAAAATTTGTTCAAAAATTAATAAAATAAAAAATAAAAAAAACACTAATATTATAATAAGTTTGGATCTGTTGATGTCAATAATTGTTTTATCAAATCCTTGTTCATGTACTAAACTCCGCAAATAAAATAGGTCAATGGGTAAATATAAATACTTGGGTGAAAGTGCTTCGTATTTTTATGAATGAAATATGGTCGTTATGTTTTTGTGTTGTTTGATAATGTGGTGATTTTTTTTTCCATTCCCGTTTGTATTTCAGCAACATCAGAGATATCAACTCTGTCCTGGAAGTGACCGTGTTCGACGAGGATCCCGACTACAAAGTGGAGTTTTTGGGCAAAGTGGCTATACCGTTGCTGTCCGTCAATAACGGCGTACAAAAATGGTATCCGCTCAAGGACAAAAAGCTAATGACCCGCGCCAAAGGGAACAACCCGAAAATCCTATTGGAATTGCGACTAGTCTGGAATCCGGTATCTTTTCCAAATTCATTTTGCTTTTTGTCCCGTTAACGGTGATATATGTTACGGTCTATGAACGATTACTAGGCAATGTCAAAATTGTTCGAGAATTTCGAAGAATACTTGATTCCGTTAGCAAAGTTCGAAGTATGGTATTATTTCTTACTTTACCCAGTCTGTAGTTGGGCAATTCGTGAACAATGAGCAAAACGATTATATAGGTGTTTATTATGTTATAGAGATTTACATAGGTAGTACATTATTACATTATTATATAATTACATTGGTATTTTTTACGTGTTGATCGTCGGATAACGTTAATAATATATTATAATAAATAAATATTATCAATTCATAATTGTTAAATAACAAAGGAAACAACCACTGAAAAAAGTCAAAATGACCCAGAAAAAGTTACAAAATATGCAGGGTAAAATTTAAATTTGTATTAAATTTGTTTATTTCATTTCATAATTTTGAAGCGTAAGTTGTTAATTATTATACTTTTTATAAACAAAAAGTAAAATATATAATATAGTATACGTCATGTGCAGTACAAAAATTTAATATTTAATTTTTGTTAGTGAATATGAGCATTTTAAATTAAACACAGTTAATGAAAATCTGTAAGCTGACAAGTACAATAAATTAAGAATACGTTTCATTTTTATTTTTTAATTAATTTTGAATTATACATAGCAATAACCATGTAATTAGTATTTTACTAATCGAATTTAGTACATTTTAATTGACTACGAATGTAGTATGTTAATTAGAAAAACAATAAGTTACTTACCAAAGTGCGTTCCGTGTTCACTTTTTTGAGGCGTAATTTTATTTCACCTCTGCATGTAGTGACTAAATATGCAAAAAAAGACGCAGAACATCGTCGGAAGATGTAAAACTATGAAATATGTATATTATGCTAAATCCAGTTTTTATTTATTATTAAATAACCGCACACTGTTATCCGACGATCACGACAATGTGCACGGCGATTAAAAACACACTAAAAAAATAATCAATGTAATAATATATTGTAATCCTCTTCACAATAATGTGATAATGTGTAATACCAGGTGACCATTTAAGTGGGTAAATTCATTATCTCGGAAAGTATTAACTTTTTCCAGATTTCGTTTTCTAGAACATTTAGGCAACAAACAACCTATTTTAAAAATTCCATGAATGGATGGAGGATTAGTTGAAATATATTTTAGTGTTGACATTTTTTATTTCCGTTAATCCGTTGACGAGATATCCACTTTTAAGTTTGGGTCGGAGGAGAGCAGTGTAGTATTTATAGTGGGTTAACTATCAAAAATAACATAAATATAAATTTTTAGAGCTGTTTGTTTCCTAAATGTTCTAGAAAACGAATAACGAAAAAAGTTAATATTTTCCGAGATAATGAGTGTACCCACTTAAATGGATTACCCGGTGTATATTAGTTATTTGCCCACGGACACCGCGGGCGATTCACGGGTCGCCCGACTTCGGATCGGGACAACCAGCAAGACACGGTAAAATACTTCGGACTTTTCACAACTTTTCACACTTTTCACACCACGAAAAGCCCGGAAAATGTCGGTATTGTCTAGTGATCGTAACACCGTAACACACACACACATTTATACCCGCTCGGCTGCTTGGTATAATTTCCTTGTTCGTTAAGTTTAGATACGAGCGTTCATCCGGACGTTGAACCCAAAGGAGGAAAAGTACATGCACCAAGAAATCAAGTTCAAACGCCAAACGTTGATCAGGAACGTCATGCGGTTGAAAGATCTCGTCTTGTGGGCTATCGACATCGGGAAATATTTCGAGTAAAAACAATATTATAATTTTTAACAATAATATTATAATATCTCCGAGTGTGTGCATCGAGTTCGTGAATAACATAATGATTTCATTATTCTTCGTCGTAAAGCGATTCCGGATTGTGTACCGCGTCGCTAGATCAATACACCTATTATATTCAGGGTGTGCATCGTCGGGTAGCTGACGCAACGGTTTAATTGTTTTGCAATGTGAAGCGCAAGAACATTTAAATTATCATGATATAAGTCCTCAGCCCGGAGTTTTTGACGTTAAAACTTTTACGCAATCGTTTTTACAATGATAAGTAATACCTGTCAGTTATTACAATTATTGTTGGTAGGTATATTATTATATTATAATGTGATCCACCTGCAGTCGATTTGATTTAAAATTTTAAAAGTAACCAGACGAAAAATAAAAATGTTCATTGCGTGATAGATAAAAAAAAAAAATTATGTGTTTGTTTTATAAAGATAATTTTTAATTTAGCTTTAAGTTTTTGAAGGGATCACAAAATATCTCGTAACTGTATAATACGATTATTTTACAAAAGATATGTGCGCACCTAATATTAAACGATGCCTAACTACTACTAGATACTTAAACTATGTATCAAAACTTAAAATATCCATCAGAGTTATTTGACCGGTTTACTGAAACATACTTTGTACCGTCTGTTCGTAAATTTAACGATCTAAGGTTTAAAAATACGGGACACTAAAATAAAAAAAAAAATTGAATTGATTCTAACGTTTAATAAATAAGTGAAATAAGTGTAATATATAATAAGCTGTGAACCTTATTGTAAATATATAGTATAAAAAAAAAGACGGACATACTTTGCACGCTGGGTGGATCACTGTTGTAAATGAAGAAGGTAAGGAAAATAAGATTTAGAGGGGGAATTTCATGTATATCTGTACGTAACGATTAATCTTTGCTAACGAAAAACGATTCTAAGCGGAGTTCGTTCATACATATTTTGAAAAACCGTAATATTTATGATTAAACACTTCTGTTTGGTCTAACAATAATTGTATCCACTGAGTACCCACCAAATAAAAATTAGGTACGTAAAAACTCGCAAATTTAAAATGTCTATAAATAGCTCAAAAATGGTTCAAATGTCTTGAAAATATTACCACGTCTAAAATAGGCAAATATTTATTGTTTTTTTAAATTTTAAGTCTATGCGAACATCTTGAACTAAATTACAATAAAAAACCAAAATTTAAAATAATAAAAGTAATATTTTTGTAAACTTTCCGGTTTTTTCTCAATGTTTCCCAAGTTTTTCACAACTTTAGACTCCCAACTCAAAACTACTTAGAAAATCAAAAAAATTACTTGCCCAAATTATCAACTAGATAAAAATTTCTTTTTAGAAAAGGAACTACACTTGTAGCTCCGCTCAAAATTTAAAACAAAATAAATATGTGCTGCATACAATTTTTTAAATACAAATAAAATATTTTTACACAAAAACAATTTCATTTTGATCATGAAGGTTATTCAATGCTTTCTTCTATTGTTTTTGAGTGATTATAGAGTGACCACGAGTTGGTGGCAAACCTAATACTTTTTAAGATGAGTTAATAAGAGAGAACATAATAATAATGTGGCTAGAGGCTAATGGAGAACGATGGTTCGAGGATCGTTGTGTTATAAGATTGATAGCTGGGAAGTTATTCAAAAAAGAGGAAGGTGAGAAAGTAATATAGAAAGGAGCAGATACACGAGTGATACTAGTATTATTATTATTAGTAAGGCTCAAATTTTATAACACTGAAAATGCGCTATAATATGACCCAAACAAAATATTAAAACAAGCTATAAAATACGAGTATGTGATGAAACATGAAAATGAGCAAAAATAAAAATGTATTTATTTTTTAAAATTTGTAATTGTTTTTAATTTATAAATACTACCGATACGAAGTCACAAATTTAGAATGTCCGATTAGTCGATAAGTTAGGCTACTTAAAAATTGATTAATATGAAACGAAAATGTAAGTATTTTTCTTAAAGAGTAGCACCAAAAATTGAAAAATGCACTAAAAATCAAAAATCTTCCAAATACACAAAAGGTAATCGCTTTTATAAACAATATTAATCGTGTTTACGTTTTCCCATAGATACTGGGTGGAATGGGAATCGCCGATGCACACCATCCTCGTGTTGATCGCATTCGTGTTGGCTTGTCAGTTTTTCGAGCCATACATGGCACCGATCGCCCTGTTGCTCGTTTTCCTCAGGTATTACGTGGCCCGTACGTGGGGAGCGTTGAAAGTAAGCGACGACGACTACGAACAGCAAATAGACGAGGACGACCAACAAGAAGACCGTGACGACGACCAAGAAGACGACAAATCCAAGGTACCGATACGCCGACCCAAGTACCTGTCTGAAAATGCATTTATATTCGAATACCGAAATTAGATCAGTAAAACTGCGTATTTTCAGGAGGAAAAAAAATCGCTGAAAGAACGGCTATCCGCGGTGCAAGAAGTCACACAACTAGTACAAAACACAATCGGGGAAATAGCGTCGTTTGGCGAAAAGATAAAAAAGTAATTTTTCCTCGATTTTTTTTTTTTTTTTTGATCTATGTACGTATATACTTCAAACAAATCGTTTGAATTTTTATTTTACAGCCTTTTGGACTTTTCCGTGCCGTTTTTATCGTACTTGGCCGTACTGTTGCTAGTCGGCGTCACGATTGTACTGTACTATATTCCGATTCGATATTTAATAATGGGCTGGGGCATCAATAAGTTTACGAGGAAAATACTTCGACCCAACACCATTCCGAACAACGAACTGCTGGATTTGCTTTCCAGAGTGCCTGACAACGAAGAAAAGGTAAACGATTTCGTCGGGTACACACCGGTCGACAAAGCTACCGTCTATACGAATCTATTTATGTAATTTTAAAATATATCCATTAAAAGACAATTAAAGAAACTACAATCGACGACGCAAAAAAAAAAAAATAAAAAATATATGGATATCTATAATAATATTAAAATAATAAAAATAGTAAATCGTAATTAAATATACCATTATAATAATCTAATATATTCCGCAGCTTCAGCGTTTGGAACTCAAAGAAAGATCGGTAGAAAGTGTAAAATGGTATTGTATATGGTTGGTAAATTATTCCATTTAAAATATTAACGATCCAATTATATCATATTATTTTAGAATTTAATCGTTTCGATAAATTCGCGTGTACTGGATAAAATGTTTTTGACGATAATTATTATTATAAAACGATTTTTCTTTAATCGAAAATAAATAAAACGAATTCAGTGGCCCCGCTGAAAATAAAACTATTCGCAATCTCTTAGCGATTGTACAAGTGGCGTAGCTCCCGCAGAGGCGACCGAGGCAGTACTCTTGGGGCGGGTTATACCACAAAATATATCCAGTAAAAATATCTCCGTCAAATTGTCCGCTATAATATCTATTGTACGGCTCTCTCGTCTAAACTGTTATAATCGAATTAAATTATCTTTATTTGGTAAACGGGCCATGATAGAAGGAAATACTAGGTACAATCATTATCATTATCTCTATTTTAATGGGAGATATTTTTACTGAAGATATTTGGACGGGTCGCCCTAGGGACGTGCGACGTTGGGAGCTGAAATGTGTGACAGGAACTCTGGAAATCGTCAATTATTTAAAAGACAAATAATGTTAAAAATGTAATCGATTTAAACGTACACATGAAGTAAGCCTAATAATTAGATATTCATGACAATTTAATTGACTGCGATTCATGTGTCACTTGCATTCTGCAGTGACAAATTGATAAAGCTGATAATATTATAATTTATAACCATTAAATTTGCATAGTGCACTTAATCAATGGCCATACTAAATATGTTTACTGTAAACATTATTTTATATTTTCATAAAAATATATTTGGTATAAATTTATGTCTATGTATGGTGTAAATGTAAATTTACTTAATTTAAAATTTAGACGTGATTGAGTTAATCTTTTCAAAAAAAAAAAAAAAAACATACAGTTACAACACTGTTTTGGTGACAAAAAACATAATTCCATTATTTATAATAGAGACCGAAAAAATTAGTCTCAGGGAGCTTTAATGTATAGCTACGCCACTTGATTGCACCTATACGTAGATAACAGAATACAAAACAAATAATTACATCTGGGAGGAAATCTTATAGTGGCTACAATAACAAATTATTATACACGTACAGTTTTTTAATTTCAAAACAACACTATTTTTTTTGAAAAATAAGTATTGTCGGTTCGTTGTTGAAACCCGTCATACTCAAGCGCGGCGCACAAGACGCAGTGGCGTAGCCAGCGAGTAAGCCCGGTAGGCCCGAAATTACCCACTTTTCTCCGAAAATAAACGCAATTTTAAAAATTAAAAATTTGTATCAGTACTCTTTCTTATTAAAACATTTATATTATTTTATCTGGATACCCGAAAATAATATTTCTAGCTACGTCTCTGACTGGACGATTGTTTTGTTCGCTTGTTTTTAAACTGGATTCGTATTGCGGTTTAAAATATTCGTTATCACACACAATCGTCATCAGCACGTTTTATCCTGATAATAATGGTCCACGAATATCATTGATATTATTGATAATTTGTTAAAAATTAAAATTAAATATCGTAGTTATCTAATACTCAACAAACCACGTGCCCCCCTCCCCCCCCGTATACATCGATGCTGCACCGAAAATCGTACACCCAAATCGCCTCTGTAATTGTTACCGCGATTCCCAATTCGGACAATTCGCCGGTAAAACGAACGGTCTCCTGAATATTCGGCCCGATAAAACCATTTTTCTTTGGCGTTATTTGTTTTGTATTCGATCTGCAGCGCTCGGATGACGTCCAACGTTATTTGGTTAACGCGTTATTAATCCGTTTTTTTTTTTCATCCGTCTCACAAAAAATTATAATATTGCACAAGAACGGGAAATTTCTTCGCGATTATTCGTACGAGATTCGCGAAACGGGTATTCGCGTGACGGACGCGATAAAAATAATATTGCTAATTGCTAAAGTTGAAGCTCGTTAAAAAAAAAAAAAAAACAAAAACAAAAGAACAAATTGTATCATACCCACGGCGTTTAATTGACGAACAGAAATTAATTAACGTGCCTTTATTTCGTTTAGATATATTACAAAGAAATGAGAACTAACGATAGCGCGGACGGCGGTAGCGGCGGAGGTGATAAATCTAACAAGGAAACGAAAAGAAAACAGAAGCTGTGATTCATTTTTTTTTTTTTTATTATTATTATTTATTCTTTTTTACAATTTTGCAAGGTATTTACTTTTGGTTGTTCAGAGTATATAATATTATTATTATTGTTATTATACACTTTATCGCTACATTTCATTATCATTATATTATCGTCATTATCGTCTATCATACTATTGTACTTGTCGAATAGACGATAACGTATTTAGAATTCTAACTTTGTCCGCTCTCAATCGGTTTCCTTATTTTTTTTATTATTATTATTATTATTATTAAAATTTATATAATATCGTGTTATATAGGCGTCTCATTTGCTCTTTTATATTATATGAAAAGAAGGAAAAAAATCCGGGCTTATATTTTACGAATCGCGATAAATTAAGTTTCCCTTGTACTTTGTTTTTAACTATAATATTATATTTTTTAAACGTATATACCTGTACATAAAATAATATTTGGTCCGTTGTTTTACATTTTTCAACGTTTATTATTGTTCCGATCTTATTATTATATTATGCTACGCAATAATATATTAGTATAATATCCAATTTGATAATTTTGTTTAAATCTCATATTCTTTTGTCGTCATTATTATACTATTATTATATATTTAAAATAATATTACTTTTAAATTTTATTCGACATTGTTCGCGTCGTGTTTATTATTACATTGTTATTCGATGATTATTATTAAAATATTACTTATGATTTATAAATATATATATATACATATATATTATAATGTTTGAATAAATATTTTGATCTACAATTTTGAAAATGTTACGTGTATTCGATTAATATCGCATAACGTTTGTATAATATTGTTTGTCGAAGAATACATAATGAATTAATAATGTACACGGGGGTGGATTAACGAATACGCCAAGCAGGCCTGGGCCCAGGGACATTATAATTTTATATAAGGAGCGCGAATACTTTTCTTCTTCCATTAAAAACAAACAACGGAAAACCGTAATTTTATTGAATTTGAACTGAGTTAGATCTTCATAGATGGTGTTTAAAGTCTGGGGTCGCCGGTGGCCCATATTACGTAGGAAACCGTAAATAATTGTTATTATTCATATCGGTTTTATCTACGAGGTGTGCAACAATATCAAATTTATTGAATGCGTTATCTCTATTGAATAGAGAAAATGAACTTCTTCGAAGCTTGGATTGTTCTAATACAGTAACTGAATTCGCTACCAGGAAATCCAGAAAAAAGATTTATTGAAATAAGTATTCTATGTAAATGTAAATTACTAATTAATTAGTATAATTCTTAGTTACTAAACACTTATTTTTATACAATTTTTTTCAAGGTCAAATGCATATTTAAAAAAAAAAAGACTATATACGATTTTAGATTCTGAGCGGAACTTGGAATGTATTGGTTTTTCAATGATGTTTATTTTTTTTTCCTATAAACAACTTTTCTATCAACGATTTTACTCCGATTCACAATAACAATAAATAAAATAAGGGCGCTAAATTTCTTAATCTGGCACTCAATATACAATATGCTCGATACTCGTTCGGAATCGAAATATTATGTATAGTATAGGAATAATATATTATTATATTATACAGAGCGATCAATCCAACGCGGACACTCATTGTCTCGGAAAGTATTAACTTTTTTTGGAAAACGGCAGTGACAATAGCAACGGCTCTGTAATGTCGCATTATTTTCTTTACCTATACGTTTGACCGTGAAATCACTGCCGTCTTTTGATTTTTCGATAGACAAATGTTAACACTCTACTATTTAGTATTTTTAGATTTTTAATGGAACGAATAACTGAAGTATTGGTTTTATTGTGATTGTAGCAAACAAAATTCCTGCCGAATATCTTGCGCCAATCAAAAACTTTATAGTAGAATTTTGGTTATAGTTTGAGTATTAAGCATTTTGATTTGATTTTTTTTTTTTTTTTTTAATTTTTTTTTTTTTTTTTAATTTTCTTTGTATTTTTCTTAATAAATGAGAAAAATTGTAAATTACGGGGAAAAAAATACGTCTAATAAACACTCTGACTCCAACCATATCCACGCCAATGTTTAGATAAGGTCAATAATATTTACTAAAATAAAATTAAGTTATGTTATGATGACAATTCCAACAATCGTTGAAGAAATGCCTAAAGATTATTAAGATTATTCACATTTGTTAAAATTATAACGCTTCACAGAGATTAACCAAATTTTTTTTATGGTAAATAAGTGAAATAAAAGATAAAATGGGTAGTTGTATTGATATTTGTTGTTGAATATATATTATGACGTCATTGAAAAACGACATAGTGGTTTACTCCCCCGACCACATTTGGGCTGAAAAAAATAAAGCAAACAATTGTTTTAGAGCTACTTGCTTTTTTAAGTTTTCCAAAAATTATTCCGACAAAAAAAAAGTTGATACTTATTGAGTGTCTTACGCTACGTTGATCACCCTGTACGCTTTTATAAAACAAAAAAGTGTTTGAAAATGTTTAAAAATATATTAAATATATATTATAGTATTGTATTAATAACGTTAAACAAAAAATAATAATATTACACGTTTGTTTCCACTATAAATATTGAGGTACCTCAAAACGTGCGTGCATTAAAATTGTCTAGGCATAACGCCGTGCGTAGACAAAACTCAGTAATCAAAAAGGCAATAAACAGCGAATTTGATTGTTCGCAATATTTAACTTATATTTCAATAACCAATGTAGTCTTTTTTTTTTTTAAAATATAAAAATACATTATCACGTCTTCATGAATTGTCAAAGTCCACAGGATTGTCAAAGTCTAACGATATCTTGTCATCGTAATCTTTAATTATTGCAGGTCGTCTGTTTTCTGAAATTCACATAATTTAAACGCCGTTACGAGTGGTATTAAAAAAAACTAGACTAGGCTAACGAGTTAAAATAATTAAAAATTAAGTTAAAATTTTAATATAAAGTATTTTATTTTATTTTTTCTAATTAGTTTTACATCAACTTACTATTAATATTGTAATTGACGAATGAATTTTGTGAATATTGTATCGAGTTAAGTTAATTGAAATTGCTTTATATTTGAAGACGATATTAAATTTATAATCTATACGCTATTTGAATAAGTACTACCATCATAATTACCACCAAAATATTTTTTTTTTCTCAACATTGTCTGTAGGGTTCCATGTTTAATATAAGTAATACAAATGATGCTTCCTCTGTGTTTTTAAAATCCTTTGTAAATTGTAGATATAATAAACATATTCATTGAAAAAGTAAAATATTAAACTCAACTAAATCAATTAAATTTTCAACGTATTACTACTTAACTCGGTTTATTAATAAAATAATTAAATTTCAAAATTTTAACTCTATAATATTTTTTCAGTTGACTTAGCCGAGTAAATATTATTCATTAACTAGTCGTGTCTTAATAAGAGTAGTGACCGATGGCATTTGAATTTTTAACCTTAACTGTTTTTTTTTTTTCAATCGTTAACTAATTAATTTAACTAGATAAGGTTTGCAATGTGCAAAATTAACTTTTAAAAATTTATTTTCACATATCCAGACATCCAGTCAAGTTAACAAGTTGAAGACAAATGATTTTTCTCGAAATTCAATTTCAAGTACTACGATTTATGCATTTTACAATTTACTGTCATAGTTTGATTTAGTTTATTTTAATAAAAATATTTATTACTTATTATATCGAATATTTTTGATGTTGAATTTGTATAACCCACCCCACTCTTCCAAAAAAAAAAAAAACAAATGAATATTTTAACCTTGTTAAGTTGACATAATTTTGCATTTTAACTTTTAACTGAAGACTTTTTTTGCTTATTTAACTTAATTAAGTGTTAATTATTGATTCGTCAAAATCAAAAAAAACCAAACAAAAAACTTACGTTTGTTCGCGTTAAACAGCTGTCGTATAACCTCTTGTAGCGTATAATTATTATTATTGTCATCGCTATAATTGTGCAAACTTCTTTTTATACGATTATTCGAACTGAAATTATTGTGTGAAACCGCGTCTTCCACAGACAATGGCATATTGTCCGGTCCGAAATCCTGTGAATAATATAATATCGACACGTTTCGCATTAATATGCAGTAAATAGGTATACATTAATAAGCTTTATGCGGCGTTTGTGATTTAATGATTTTGCAATCATTTTATTTAAATACTGGAAAGAAACCTCGGGAAAAAAAAATAATAACAATGGAGTGGGCCAGGCACGTATAATATTATGTAGATCAGTCGTGAAACGTAAACAACGGACAGTGTACGACCAAGGAGAAGACGCCTATAAATAACGATCAAGGATGATCTTATGATGAAATATTTGGCGTGCGGGGCAGAAATGAATCAGCATCGCATAAAAAAACTATGGACAGACACTGGAAAACAACGACGGTCGGCCTATCGCCCGTCTAAATAGCGTAGAACCAGCCAAAAGTGAAACATTATTTGCATTATTATAACATATTTGCACACAGTCGTAACGGGGTGTGCACAAACTACGAATTAATCTCGACAATGCTCCAACGATCAGACATTTGTGTAGTTTGTAAGACTCGTATAAGTAAAATAATAGAGTGTTATGATATATAATTTGTACTTGCACCTCAAAACTCGCCCACGGTGTTAAGAGTGTAAAAGTGGATTCTATTTGAGTATCAGTTTAAATACTGGCTGAACTGGCAATGACTTATGCAACTGACGTTTATTTAATTTACGGTTAATAATGAAATATTATCGGTTAATATTCGACTTAATAATATTATCGTATTAATAATGTTTGTTTTTTTTAATTTTAATTTACGGAATATAGCGTAGAATAGTTACGAACTATACGACTACGTCATTGAGCAATAAAAAACCATTAATGAATAATATTTTTATTTTTTTTTTTTATAACGAAGGTTAAATTTAAAATCCATACAAATATATGGTACGATCAGCAAACGTAGTATTGATATACACGAGGAACCACGACATGAAAATAACACGGTTGAGGGAAAAAGCCCGTTAGAAACGCCCTCATGTACAATATATCCCACCGTGTCTTACCCAATTTTTTTTTTTATTTCTGTTGATTTTTAGTTTTTGACATTTTTTTTTTAATGTGACACATACATTTAGAGAAAAATTAAATTTTTATTATCACCCTTTATAATCGCTAGAAATCTCTAAAGAAGGGACGTGAAAAAAATTGTATTTATTACGGCATTGCGCAATTGGGAATCACAACCGTAATACAACTGTCAAATGATCACTATTTTAACAATCGGCGAGTTTTCATTTTATTGTATACCTATTGAAAATTATTTTAGTGTTAGAAATGTAAAAAATCGAAAATATTAGAAATTTAAATGATTATTACTATGAAAATATCGATCGGGTATAAATGTAATGTCTAATCGAATGTTTGGAATAATACTTTATGTAAAATGTCAATTTCTAACATGTTAAAAAGTGAACAACTAAGAAGTTCTATTTTTATTTTATTGATTACTGGATAAAAATTAAATTTTTCTCTATATTCTTGTGACAAAAAACCCAAGTTTAAAACAAATATTAAACATTTTATAAATTTATTTATTTAAATATTATTTATTAATTTATTTTTTAAATATAAAATATTAACTAAGGTATGAAAATCTGTAGAACACGATGGAAATAGATTTTGGTTTTCTCTGTGGTAATTCAGTGAAAAATAATCATAGAGATATCTAAACCCTTCTCCAAATATTTATATTAGCACTTTCTAAACGCAATGTAATTTCGAAAATATTCCGAAATTTTTTATTTATTAATCACTATAATGTTTTATGTAAACGAAAATTTTTTGATATATTTTCGTCTGCTATTTGAGATCGGAATTATGTTAAAATTTCGTGGAAAACGTAATTTATTTTTCAACGGTTACAATTCAGTACAATATTAAAATTGTATTCACCAAAATTTGTTTTACACCGAACTTTGCTCAGAATCATTTTTCGTTTACAATAATCTATGGTCTTGTACAGGTATAAATAACTGAATCGCCCTGTAGGATATCCCAACCACAACAATGTTCCTCCCATGGTGTGTCGGCATTTAAATGATGTTTATAACATTAATTATAATACTATGTACTTCGTTTACATTTTAATTTTTTATCAAATTGTTGCATATTTTCATAAAAAACGATAATGGTTGTATCGATTAATTTGTTGAAAAAGAAATATTATTACCCGCCGATAAATATTAAACAGTTTATCCGATTTGATGAAAGGAACAAGTGTTTCAAAAATATCACAATAAAAATAATTAGTATAAATAGACGCCAAAAAATGTGTATTTATATACGTATTAATGAAACTTTATCAACTTGCGCCCCACCCCTCCACCGATTCAAGCACTGAATTGAACATATTAATTTTTCGTTATTTTCGTACACGCAGCCATTGCAGTACTTTTCGATATTAAGTATTTATACAGTTGGAAACAACGAGAATCTAGAATTCTAGAATCGGGATTTTTTTAAAATCCGTACTTCAATAGGTTTTGTCTTAATAATTATCTAATGTTAACGGTATTTTATGGTTTTCATATATGCGCGCGCACGAACCAAACATTTTCCGCTCAGACAAAAAGCATGCCGGTCCGGATCGCCTCGGGCGCAATCTGTGCCGAAAGGAAACCAACCGACTTCGCCGTTGACGATGTAAAATCTGTGCTGGACCGTTTGGTCTTGACATGCCAGTCTGCACGGCCTGTCCATGTCCTCTGAAAATATAAAAACGCGATAAAATAACGGTGTTTTGTTTATATTTTTTTAGTAGTTTATTTTAGAAGTTTTCTTCTCTTGCCTGGCACCGACGAAAGTTGCATTCCTAAACCCGAAAGCCTCTGCACTTTTTGTCCGTATTTAGTGCAGATCGTAGTCGCGTAATCCACGACGGATTTTAAACCCAGTTTGCATTGCTAGAAATAATGGCGGAAAACAATTGTCAAACACAGGTTAGATAACTTTTTTTTTTATATTCATTATATCGCGGTCCTTAATAATCATAATGTCAAAATGTCGCTTGAACCCGTTTGTTTATTAGGGATCGGCTATATTTTTGACGATATCACGGGGAAAGAAACGAATTCTGATACGCACGAATGCCCAGGACCTAATCGTTCCGATATCAAGAAGCCTAGAAAGTATTCGTTATGAAATGAAAAAAAAAAAAACGAACGGACATATTTCGCACGATAGGTAGGTCACTGTTGTAGGTGAGAAATCGGAAAGGTAGAAGGGGAAATAGAATATATGTCTGTACGCAATGATTTATAATTGCTAACGAAAGACGATTCTGAGCAGAGTTCAGTTAAACGTGTTTTGAAAGGCCGTAATATTTACGATTTGAAAATAATATATTTTGTAAATTGTTCAGATTTTCCCAATTATTATGAAAACTATTTGGAAAATTAAAAAACGATCTCCTTAAAGTACTACCCCAGTCAAATTTCCTTTCAGAAAAAATTCTACAATCGAAAATCCGAACAAAATTTCTGGTAGAAAAGTTGTTTACAAGAAAAAATTAACATCATTGTAAAGTTTGAGATTTTGACACTCTAAATATAACACATAAATATAAAAAAATCGTTTGAAAAAACTTTACTTAAAGAGTGTTTTAAGTTTATGATTTCCTAACTACTCAGTTTCGGTATGTTACCATCTTCAGGTTACTAATTAGAATGTTTTGTAAACAATAAAACAATGTGCATAAGTTCAAATTATAACGTTTTTTTAATTTATTTTTAATTTAATATTTATCTATTTATTAATGCGTAATTAAACCAAAAACATTGTTATCAATAACCCGAAGATGGTAATATACCGAAACTGAGTAGTTACGAAATTATAAACTTGTATAAGTATAAACAATTTGTAATGTCATTAAAAAAACCAATACACTACTCGTCTGTTCAGAATCTAATATAACAAGTTACTATAGTCTATAACAACATGGGTATAGGTAACGAAAACCAGAAAGAGTCGCTTTTTAAAATGAACTTTCCCCGTAATAATTGCGCACCGCGTTCGGATACGTATTTTATTATACTGGTATACAATAAAGGAAGTCGATAGGTACGTATAAAATTATTATATGATCGGACAGCAATTTGTTTATAATAATCGACTTAAACTGTTCAAACGTAATACTATTGTACTCACGTCTTTCTGCGGATGGCAGACCTTTATGCTTACGATGGAATCGCAGTTTTTGCACGTTTTGCCCTCGACCAGTTTGAAACCCGTGCCAGGCAACATGCAACTGTAATGACACACGGACACCGGCTGCCATTTCCATCCGGTGCCCGTTTCCGACTCGGCCGGCAAAAGCGCTAGCGGTCGGGACGGCGACCTCGGCCGGGCAGGCGGCGGTTCGCACCTTTCGGCCGACTCGATGTGCAGCGTGTCCGCCGCAGGTGCGATATTATCCTCGCACGCGAATTCCTACATCATGATCGTACACTAATATAGTGCTTTAAGTTTGAAATATACCAGGACAAAGGGGAAATATTGATTTGTTATATTAAATTGTTAATGCGAACAAAAACCTATCGTGATATTCGCAATAAGTGACAAATTAATATTGAATACAACGAAAAAGCTATTATAATTGTACGTGTTATTTTCATCTCTCAGAAAACACATTGTCTCAGAATCACTTCACATTATCTCAAAAAGTGCGAATATTTCATCTGATCGTTTATTGTTTGAAAAATATTTCGAAATTCCCAACACTTTTCCCAACCAGGGTTGGACTAGGCCACCGGAACATCGGGAAATCTCTCGGTAAGCCGCTATAAAAATGAGTTAAGTTAAAATCTGATAAGGAGTGACTGAAGGGCCAATGTGGAACTAACTTTTGACGCAAGAAAAATAAATATTTCCCGAACTGTTTTTATTGGATATGGTCTAACTTGGTTCCCAACGAATTGTTTTTATGGATTTTTAACACTTTTGGCGGGTAAAAATGCTCAGATTTGTATGAAATGTTTAAATACTATACAGTATACAAACAAAGTATGTAACGAAACCTCAACGTCACAATTTTGTTTCTTTTTAAACATTTAAAAATAATTCATACCGTAAATACAACAGGTAAAATTTTAAACTTTTTAAATTTCCTCCAACAAATTCTAACAATTATCCAACAATATCTAACAACTCAGAGTAGAGATAGTTGGAATATTTGTTTTATTTTTCGTTAACTTTGTGGTTCCAGTTTCACGTACCTAAAATTATATACCTTAATTCTATATATCTATAAAACGGTTTATTAGTTGTTATTTTTTTTCTCTTCTCTTTACGTTATTAATATTAATTGATTAAGTTGAGCAATAATAACTTGTATTCATTATAAACATAATAAAAAAAAATGTAAAAATTTTAAATGTACAATTATCCTTTTAACGGCACTTGTGTACCTGTATCTTGTCGTTTCACAATAAATGTCATCGAATCAATAAACGAACTGACCAAACGCTTAAATGTTGGATATTTCCAATGTGACCGTCATCGAATCACTTCCTCGTTTATTTATCTCTGGCCTTCGTTTCACCTCCTATGTGCGCATACCTTGCCGTTACTTCATGACGTATTACCCGAACCTCCACAATCCTGTTCTCTCCCGTTTTACATCGTATATTGGCAACACGCCTGAATTTCCTCTTTTACGCTCATTTCTCGCTTATAGTCATTTCACACGCCGTAGCGTTGTCATCTGGGGCGCACTTTGGTTTCGTTCTGATTTCCCATACTCTCTACGTTCGTAATTTTCACCTTTGGTGAAGTATTCCAAACAGAGCGAAACCCTCTAGGATGATCTATGGTGCAAATAAAAATTAATGTTAAATACATTGTCATAAAAATAATAATAACAATAATAACTGACACTGCTAATGCTCAGGCTACTACAATTGTAAGTGGGAGAATGAAAAACTCGACTTTTTGTTTTTAAACACTAAAAAAAACTTATGAAAAACCTTGCGTTACATTTGTATGTATATTTATGGAGCTAAACAAAGTTGATTCTTACAAATCGAAAAATAGTGCGTAGAATAATGGTGATTCAAAAAAATAAGTAAATAAAACCGCACATCATAATGGAACTAATCTGATAATAAAACTCGCTACACTCAGAATCTTAAATAAATACATATTTAATTTAGCGAGATACTAAAGTTAAAATGTTTAACTTTTTGACAAACTAAATGGCTATTTTACTAGTAGATGCCTGAGCTATCATCGTGCAGACGAATAGGAATACCAAACTACCCCAACTGGTTATTATATACGCTCCAATATATCTATTGACCATTGTGTACTATCTATTATACTATCTACGTGTAAACGAATATTCCAATACACTAGCTGCTAGTACCTGCTAGATAGTAGTAAAAAAGGCATCCTATAAAGTAAACGATCCTTTAAATTTAGGAATGTATGTGGGTGAACTTAGTACCTAACTAACCGTTATCGACGTATGAAAATAATTTTATTTGTGAGCGAAAAAAATTAGGTCTTTCAGTTTATTTTGAATAGTTAATAATTATATAGATTCCAAAATATCGAGAAACATCTCACATATAACTTAAAATTCTCTCCTTTTCGTTTATCCACATATAATTACTATGTTATATTATAAAACATAAATCGACTGATATGACGATTATTTTTTTTCGAAAAATCGTTTAATAGTTAATAATATAATTATGTATGGCGTACGATTTATGCATGGACTTAAGGGCATTGTAACATAAAGGGAACCGAGAAAGCCGACGTAGTATAGCCTTAAACGCAATCAACTTTATTCTTCGTCGCTTGTTGACATAAACAGAGGTTTAAATAAATAAATACCACATGAATATTATACGGAACGCGGAATTTTGCAATACAGCGGAAAACAAACTAAGATGTAAGAAGAAACACCAAATACGTAAATCTACCGAAGAAGTAGTGCTCAACCGGCTTAAAATAGACCAAACTAAATTCTAACATGGACATCTAATGGAAAAAAAAACCTACCTTATGACCAACATACAACTCACATAACACTTGCAGCATCATCATCAACTGCTCAATTTTCACTGAAGTTAGAAATAAATTCAATATATCTGACAATATATAGGTACGAAATAATTTGATCGTTATCATATACTATAGACTGTAGACAAATGATTTCCCACCTTAAAAAAAAAATTTAAATGCATAACTCAATGTAATATAAACATTAATATAAGCCGATAGTTGGGGCTCGGGAAAAAATATTTTTAAAAAACAAAAATAGTAGAAGAATTTAAAAGTCCTCCCTTTTACGGCTCTAAATTATCAAATAAAAATATTTAACATTAACTCGGAGTAATTTTATTTAAATAAAATTGTACGTATTATAAAAAAAATTATTTTATAGCGTTAAAAAATTGTTTTTTTTTTTTTCGTGGATTTTTAGTGCATACAGTCCAAAAACCTTACTAATAATCATTGTCATTGTGATGCTATAAACAAAAAAAAAAAAAAATAGCACACTCGTAAGTATTCTGCTTATCGTACAATGTTTGTTTTTTCGTAAACACAAAAATGAAAAGAACTCAATATTTATTTAAACAGCTTGTTTATGAGCTATTTATCATATTTTACAGGATCGATAAAACATTTAAGTAATTTATAAACGTAATTGTTACGTTACATCTATTGTCTAACAACGACTGTAATTATACACGGAGACCGAAAGCAAATTAAATTCTACACAATAGCGTTCTATTAATTTCAATATGAAAGTACCCTTCGATTCATTTTAAGAATTTCCGTAGGCACCTACCTACGCAATATCGCTAACACATGCGCGTAGCTATACGCGAAATACAGTGAGTTCCGCATAACGGATGCCATCAATGGTTTATAGAATCAACCGTTTATTGGAATCAAAAATAAAAATCACAAAAAAAATCGTATGTTAATAATGTTGAATTAACCTTTCATTAAAATCACCAAGCACCGGATAATTGAACCACTTCCATGGACATTCTTATCGTTTTTATGGTATTTTATGTTTTTATTATAGTCGTATGTTTTTTTTTTTTTTTTTTTCATATACATTAATTGAATATGGATTTTAATTTCAGGCTAATATGAAAATTAAATTAATAGTTTCTCAAATAGAATCGAAAATAAATACCTTGGTATTTATTTTATTTTAAATTTACGTATAAATATAGAATCATTAAAAAGAAAACAAATGTTTTATGTAATCAATCGGTATATAGAATCAAAATGGCCTGAACCAATGTAATCACATTAAACGGAACTCGCTGTACTTATTGTTTTTAAAAATCGACGAAAATAAAACCGATAAATCGTGTCATTTGCTGAAGAATTCCGTTTATTTATTAGTAAAGCCACCGGAAATCTAGACAAATTATCGTTCAAATTAACTACTACAGGGCAATAAATCCGCATCTTCTTTGATGCAAACAACGCACGGTATAGGTGTATAAGTTATCTACGTACTCCGTGAATGACCGATTTGGAGAATTTTTACTAACCGTAAAAGTGTTTTCCGAGAAAAAATAATCGGATAAAGATCTGCGGGGTAGACTGTTGCAAAGAATTTCTAAACATGTTTCGAGTAAAGTACGGCCGCAGCGCCGGGTGAAAACTACGCATCTTTCCTGAGTCTTGGCATTAAAATGTCGGGGCATTTTCACTAACCTAAAATGTTTTCCGAGAAATGAGCGCAACTTGTTCACAATTACCGGCACACTCGGAATCTAAAATACCTAATATTTTTAATAATTCTCATTCGCTATAATACTTCGATAATATTTGAACATATTTTACGTACCTTGCAATATCCGCCGATGCAGTATGTCGATCTCTTGTTCTTTTTTATTTGACAAGTGGTCCCGTCCGGAAAGGACCATCCCCGGCTCTTTGTGCCGCCTTTGTCTTTATGACACCAAACGGTACACGCGTCTTTGGCTATATCGAATGAGCATTATGTAATACGATTATAACGTCAGTGGCTCTAGGCCATAGAGATATTAACAAACGGACTGCGCTTTGAGGGGAAAAAACGAGGAACCGATATTGAGTGAGGGAGATGGACGATATGCAGTGCTAGTGAGCTCCCAGCTATGGAAGACACGGTTCAATAGTTTTATTTACACTGTTAAATTTCCATTACTTGACTACACGGCTATGTCCATAACCGTGCTTAGGTACCTGTCTGTTAGCTTGATATCTGGCTACAGATATTTATTAACAGTTTCATGGTGCAATAAAAATAACCGAAATACCCATTCCATCGATAATTATACCTCTAACTATCGCCAACTCTTCCCACTCAATATTGTTACCCGTATCATGCATATCGTAGACGTAGGAGGGAGGTGCGGGGGGAAAGTACCGTCCATTTATTAATGTCTGTGGCTATGGTTTGCACTTGCTGTTTTATTGCATTATCGTTATTAGATAGATATTGTAAATTTAGTAATATTATTGAAGCGTTTTTTTCCATTTTTGTCTTTATAGAATTTAAGCAATGTTTTTTTTTTTTTTTTTACCGCGGTATACATTTTAGCAAAGCGTATACAAAAATACTATTACACGTAGTTTCGTGTGATATTGAAATATGTATTGAGTCACAACGGTTCGAAATATTCAATTTTATTTTTCTACCTTATCTAATTAGGCATCTTAAAATATTATCATTTTGTGTTTTTGTATCATTATTTATTTACGCTTCAAAACGACTTTTGTAAATTAAATTTAAAAAAAGAAACAACAGAATAATATATTTATGCCGTTTTTTCTTTTATCCGGCCCGACACTGTACCCATAATCAAACTAATAAATACTTCAAAGGCAATATATTTGTTTTTGATTGCACATTTAAATATTATGATTGCCATGTCTCTGTTTTGTCGAACTATGTATATAAATAATTACAAATATTTATCAGATACGAAATTTCGAAAACTCAACGATTTCATGATGCGCAACAGTGTGAACGATATTATGTTATACAAGCCGATATATCGGCATAAACTTACGATCAGAAGTGATTTTTTGATAACCAGTTCCCAGTAGCTCGGAATCATATTCTTTAGCCCTTAAACATATCTCATTTGCGAAATCTTTAAGAGTTAGCCGGGGTGCGTTCGTACACTAAAAATAAAAATAAACAAAAAATTACAAACACTTAAACACTCAATACGTCTTAGATATTTAATCCGGCGATTAAATCAAAGAATTATAAAATATCATTTACCTGTTCAGTTGAACACGATTTGTACTTTTGATCGCCGCCCGAACACGTTTTACCGCCATTTTCTGGTCTAACGGGCAATACGATAACATTATTATAGACCTACGTTTCATTTGCAATCGTAATAATATTATAACACAACGTTAATAAATCGTTCAACCATTCGTTTCAGATAAATAAATAAATAAAACTGCGTAAACCAAAGAAGTTATACCCGTACAGTTGTACAGGTATATTATTGAATCGATTATAAAATTAAAGAGTTTGTCATCCTGCCTGTTAGTGTGTGTCTGAGCTAATCTCGAAAACGGCTAAAGCGATTTCGATGGAATTATCGGGACTTTCATTGGAAAGTAGAAAGTATTTTCTCGGGAATAATTAACGCTCAGTTTTATCCCGAAATTCAAACACTCTCTAGGGGATGACACTCGATTTTCGGTCTTATAATTTGAAAATATTGAACTTTTTAAATTTATTTATGTGTTTACCTTTTGTAACGCGGATGGCAAAAAGAGTTGTATTATTTAATTTGATTGTCATGGACGAAAAATCCCTTTTTTTTTAAAAGAGTTCAAAATGTTTTTTTTTAATAAAAGTGCTGACAATTTCGTGTTTATTAATTACCATAGCAACCCATTTGCAAAAACTCGGGAGAGGCCATGCACCGAGGGGGGATAGCTATTGCCCTGTTGATATACAACATAATATAGTTTATCAAACGATATTATCTTTATTTATTTTGTATTTCAAATATACAAAAGACTATAAAACAATGGCGCCATTCGCGTGTAACAAATTAGCAAATCTCCAGTCTGTCTACTAGCCTTATCGATTTATCATATTTTGGCATTTTGGTTGATCCCTGGCTTTTGGGTTTCAGAAAAAAATGTCAAAATATCGAAAAACGCTTTATATACCTTTCGTTCGTATGCCCTCGCAGAAAAGTAATCCGTAGTCAAATGTTTGATTTTCTCATTTTCTAACCGATTTTCATGACGTTTAACATTAACAATATGTAAACAATTTAAATGCCACGTAAATATATACCTATTGTTTTGTAAGCATGACAATTTTAAATACCAATTAAATGATGGTAATATTTAAACGAAACGACAAACATTTATTTCGGCGAATAACTTATTTCCTGTACCGTCAGTCGGCAAATTTTGTTAGTTTGTCCCGATCTATCGAATATCGAAATGACGCCACCGTTTTAAAAACTTCTGCTTCACCTTTGTTCCGGCTATTTGAAATCGAACACCCTCGTCTGAAACTTACACTTGACCCAATCTCCTACCTAGCATACACTGACCGCATTGGGTGTCCTCATATCATTCTCAATCACATCTTACCTCCTCGTTTTCGGTCTTGCTCTCTGCTTATTCCCGCCTTCGTTTATATTCATAACAATATTCTTGCCGCTTCTGATTCCTCTCTTAAAATAACATGCTCAAATCATCTCAGTCTATTTTCTCTTATTTTTCTACAGTCGAAAACTCGCCTGTGCTACCACGTATGTCTGTGGCGTACTTAGACCTGAATTTTGGGGGGTTTTAATTTTTAAATTGTTTTCAAATTGGACCTGACGTCCTGACATCTGAACATAACAAAACATATCGTACATTTTAATAGACTACTAATTTTTATTCGTGTTTTTTTAATTGACACGTCATAATAAAATGTGTACTGAAGTCTGAAATAACTACTTATTACTAAGCCATACGTATACATAAAAAAAAAATGTTAAATAATAAAATTAAAAAAAAGTAATAATAATAATAAATTAGATAATTTTTAAAACATTAACTTTCTATCTTTTTCTGAAAAAATATCGACCACCTCACTACTTTGGATTGGTATTTCTCTGTGGATACTTAGGTGATCCAATCCATTAAGTCGATTTTCCCCCGTAGAATTCCTCAAATATGATTTCAATCGTTTCAACGTTGAAAAGCTCCGTTCTACACTGGCAACTGTAACGGGCAACGTAGTGCCAATTTTTAAATATTGGTATACTTTAGGGAACAGTAACTCATCACAACAACGTATTGCATCTATAAACGTGCAAGGGAGCTTATCTACTGCGGTTATCCATCTTTGTTTCCACAATAGAACTTCTTTATTTACAATATTGTCACACGAGCTTATAACGATTGGCCACTGTTTTGACATCATTTCCGTACTTGTCTCGATTTCATTTTCGGATAATTTTATTAGTTTATTTGGTATAAAGTTCTGAATAATTGAGAGTGTATTCTTGTGTTTAGTAAATCTAATATCTTCTTCTATAAGAAGAATAAAATAAATAATAGCCTTACCTGAACTAATTTCATTTATTTCTGATCTGTTAAAGTTTGGATCGTTGTTATAATTTGTATCATGTTGGTCTCTACTCTCTACATCAAGTTTAGGTTTTTTTATTATCCACTTATCCATTGTTAATGTATTTTTAAAAAAAATAAGTTTTAACAACGTACTTGTCGTAATTTCGTTTTTCACTAAGTTTAATGGTTCAATGGCTAACACACTAGGCGATTAATCGCACAAAATAAAATACATGACGGCGATAATACCGATTGCCGATAATGCCGATTACACCGTTCGTCCACGTCCATATCTACAATATTTTCGTAGAAATACTTATATTCCCGTAAGTATCCACATTTTACTAAAATAGAATAGAATATTCTAAAATCAATGGCTGTATCATTTAATATTTATATCAGAATTGCATAGAACAATAATTGTACGCTGTTTATTTTATTATGATAGACAATTTGTTATAGGTACCTAAGTTGCTAAGTACAATACAATTAATTATAAGTACCATGCATTTTAGTTTTCTCGTATAATAAATAAATTCATAAATTCTAAAAATTTCGGGGGGGTTTGGGGATCAACCCCCCCCCCCCGTTAGTACGCCACTGACGTATTTACGTGTTCCTTATCCTATCTTCTCTCGTCTCTCCACTCATCCACCTAAGAATATTCATCTCTGATACACTCATCATTCCCTTTTCTGTTTTTCTATATACCGCTTTAAAAACTAATAAAAGTAACGTCGGACGTTTCACAACAATTTATTAACCATACGTCATATCATCGTATCTCCGTGTCGATAAAATAGTATATTTTACACGAGGTCGTAAATTTATATTCTAAACGCAGCGAGCACCCAATGCATTGGTTTATTATGACGTGTCGATGTGTCTGCGAACGACTTCACTACCAGGAGTCTTGCTCTGATATTCAACCGTAGCGCATTCCCCGAAAGCGAATTGCGTTGTTGTGTTGGAAAAAGTCATTTTTAAACATTTTTTCCCCGCGGTTACCTTTGCACAGCCGGGAAAAATCGCGCGGAAACGAGCCGTTTGTTCGGTTTCGTTGAGATCCGGTGTGACATGACGTTCGGGTGTAACGCCGGGCGCGCGCGAAGAACGGTTCGCCAAAACTCGTTTGTTCCGCAAACATCTCGCATATGTCCGTGAAACGCGCAATAATTATTATTTATCTAGCTTCCCGAACGTCGATAAAACACGCGAGCGGCTTTTCTAACAGCGCGATTATTATTTTAGGCACGTACCCGTATTCGTATACACACACACACACACACACACACACAAATACGTATAGTTCGCGGTGTAATTTATGCATCGCCTTTGGCGTAAACCAGAACATGTAACGTATGAAACATACGTATATACGTGTGTACGTGTATTATGCATCCCTTTGTTCTGCAAACGCTTACTAATCCCGGGACAAAGGAAAACCATTATTGTCGCCCCGGCGCGGTGCGCGGGGCCGCGGTGTTCGGCGCATGCGGCCCGCCGGCCGGTCGTTTTCGCGTGTCGATACAGTGTACGCGTAGGCACGCGGTCGTCGTCGAGAAAAAAAAAAAAAAAAAAAATTTGATAAAAAGTCTGATTTATTGCGTGGCGCCGCGGCTCCGCGAACGTTATTCCGCACACACAAGACCGTTGTATAAATATTAACTTTTCCGTTTTGAAAACAGAAACCCCCGTTTTCGTCCACAGCGCGGATAAAGATAATATTTGTCGGCAATACGCTCGGACCGTCCTTGAAACGTGTAATTTGTAATAATAATACTACCTACGAAAATATCGTACGCGATGAGTTGTTTAACTGGCCGTGTGGAAAGAAGTGCCCAGAAGCGCGGATATTTTTTTTTTTTTTTTTTTTTTTTTAGGCATTTCCTCGCTTTACCAATTTAAACTCGAAACATTCACTTATCCGGAAATTAAAAGTTAGCTATGTTACGCCCGGGTCGTGTTTTTTTTTTGATAACTTCTAATTCGAGTAGTTTAAAAAAAAATAGAATGTTATAAATTAAATTATTATTGTTATTTTTTTCAAAAAGAAAAAACTATAACTTGGCTAATTAATTTTATTAAAATTTAAGTTAATCACGGATTTATCGTACAAAAAACTTTTTACCCGGTTTTGCTTTTAAATTCGTTTATGGTTTATGAATATAGCCATGGGTAATTTTAAAAAACTTTAAACCCTTTTAACTTTTATCTTGAATTGATTTATTATTTTTCCAAACACACGTAACTTATTAACTTAGTTACTAGAATAAATTTATGTGCCCAAATCAACTTTAACATAGCTTAATTATTATTCTTATTTTTTTTTAATTTAACTAGTACTAGTTGTCAAAAAAACAAAAAAAGGATTAATTTAACCATATTTTATTTTATTTGTGTTATTGTATTTGTTTTATTTTTATCTACGAATAAACCCCATAGTATACCATTATTATGCTTCATCATTTGCATAAAACTTCTGTGATAATCGGTGATAAAAAAAAAGAATCATAAGTTTCTATTAGAAGATGCATACCTATTTAGTTAATTTAAAATATTGATTTGCCTTTCGATTGGTAATTTATTGTTTATGAATTTATCGTCTTAATGCCTTTAAAGAAAAACCTGTCAAATCGTATTTACTTCAAAGATGAAAATCTTCGCTTTTGTTCAGAAATCAGAATAAATCGCCCCGTTAATAATAAAATTACACAATTAAAAGTTGCTGTTTTTTTAATTTTTACCAAAGCATTTTCAATAATTAAACAAAATATTGTGATTTTTAAACATACGGAAACGGAAACCGTCGAAATATGTTTCTATTTCTATGAACTTTGGTGGTTTTTCTTCGTTATACCATAGTATTATCGAGAAAATCGTAATACTTTTGTTTTCATTTTACAAATGCTTAATTCTGGATTTGTCAGATTTTACAGCAGTCAAAACACTATTTTATTCGAATAAAAAGTATTTCATTTTTAATTGGAGTATTAAAATATGGACAAGTTTGGACGGTATAGAAAATCCGTATACGCATATTGTAAATAAGTACTCAAAACTATGGACAACGTGCGTATACATTTAAATCCACCGTACAATAAAACGTATTTATAAATAACTCGGTACGCGTTTCACTGTGCATATATTATAAATTTCAATTGTATGCGATGCGCAAATTCATTAATTCCCAAACATTGGTCGTAAACAAGAGACATTTTTAGCGTCATTAAAAATTGCCAAATAGAATGGAGAACATAGATAGTGAGCATTAAAAAACTACATAATTAAAAAGTTCAAGTTGAAAATGTAATTATTTTTTAACTTTTATAATTTATTGTTTTCATCGTTATAACTATAATAATACAATTAACTCGTTTAGGTTTTTTACAATTAACTCGCATTAACATTCTGTTAACGGGTTAAAAGCAAAATAATTCAATTTTTTTTTTTTTTTAGTTAGAATATGCATACAAATTTAGTTGCTTGTATCACGTAAAGTGAATGCATAAATAAATAAATTTTATTTTGAGCGAAGTTAACATTTTTTTTTTTTTTTGTATTTCATCTTTTAACTAAACGAGTTAAATTTCTTTTTTGTTTCCTTTTAAACTGAGGTATTTTCGTTTATATATAACTTTTTTAAAATGATCAATTAAATTATTTTCATTAACCTAGACCCGCCTTTGGAAAACAAGACCAACATATTTTTTTTTTACAACGTCAAAGTATAATATTACAACAAAAATAACACGGACATCAAGATTGACAGCCGAATGACGATGAAAAGCAATAATCAAAAACGTATAATATAAGAGCATCTGAGTACATTATTGTCGTTTACGTATTCTGATAATAATATTATCACACGTAACAAAAAACTAGATGGTGCATTCCGGATTGGAACCAGACACGGATTCAGTGGAAGGGGGGAGCGGAGGAAGCGGCCACCAACCCTCGTAGGCGGGTTTTATTTAGGGAAAATTCCCAAGTAAAAATACTCAAAAGAAATTTTGAATTATTTATGTAATCTATGTGTTCTGAATTACTCTTTGAATTTGCGATAACGGTGAACGACGCGATACCAGTACCACAATGTGGCGGTCGTGAAACGGACGAACGACTGTCTGAATTTCACAGATACAGATAATTAACAGATATTATTATCTATATTCTAATCTAATTTAATATAATAGATTTTACAAAGTTCATGGGAAATCGCAGTGATAATATTGTTCAACGTTTGCCACATGGAACGGTCACTCGATAATGAATATCAATCAGTAATGAATATCATCGCGTAGCGTGTTTCTTCTCGTATTGCCCGTTAGTTTTATCCATAAATCGAATTCAAAAATATGTTTCAATTCAGTATACGATCGCGTTTGATTTAAATAATATAACCGTGTCAAAAAGAATTGCGGATTTCACGTTAAGTTATTTAAAAATATATATAAAAGTGACCTCTCTTCCGACAAAAATAATGTAGCGGATAAACCAAGTACAAGTCATCAGTCATCATCAAATATAGTGAGTCTGTACGATTAATACCTGCTGATTTTGACAGCAGTTCTGTCACAAATGCGTTTGATTATGTGGAACTGTAACCGCGTGAATTGACCCGAGAATTTAATTTTGTTCGTAATGTACTAGACATGGGCTTTGTTTTAAAACATAAACTTACTGTTTACTAGTTACTAAGTTTACTATTTGGTATTTATTAAATAATTACAATGTTAAGAACCTTAAGAACTTTTTTTTCTAAATTTGATTATAATTGATAATACGTGTTAAACACATAGTTTAAATTTAAAAGTCTTGAGAACATTGTAGAGTGAAGAATTAGTATTAATATTTTAAAATTGCATTTTCCCGTTCATGGCCATCCTATACTATCTATATGATTGTAATTGTTGATACCGCGCAGTAAATAAATTAATAAATACAACAATAACCCTATGGAATATGAAATTACAAAACGTATATACTATTAACGAATAAAATACAAATTAGTAACCATAGCAGGGATACTATGGTCTTAGCGACACAACCACAACTATTTCGTAAAAGTTATTTTTAAACACACACACACACAGATATGCGCACATGTAATAGGACAGATATTTTATTTTTGAATGCGCAATATTCTCTCCTCTCCCCCCCGTAATATAAATCTGAATCCACACCGGGGTAGAACAAAGGATGGCTCTAAAATATAAACAAACGGAATCTTGTGTAGAGCAGTTTGACCACCTTACAAAAACAAATGTATTGTATTGTACAAACAATTTGTAATAATATTTTACTTAAGTCGATACATTTTTTAGCCAGTGTTTATTTTGTCAACAAATAGAGTAATAAAATATTTTCTACCAAATCGATAACTTATAGATACGAGCGTAGCAAGATCTGTTGGTTTTACTATAAAGTATGGTTTTTTTAAAACTTTTTTAGAACTTTTCAACCAGAAAACTTGCTCTAATCGAAAAATGACTAGAAAATTTTTTTGTTGGATTCTCGAACTATTTGGTGCATTGTGGAGATCATTTGTTAATTTTCCAATACGTTTCCTATAATAATTGGAAACAATTTAGCAACCTCCGCTCAGAATCGCTTTTCATTAGCAATGGTTGATCGTTGCTTACAGGTATAAATTAAATAACTTTACACATCCTACCTTCCCAATATTCCACCTAAAGTAGTATGAAACCCATTAACAGTATCAACTCTTTTTTTTTATTTAAAAAATAACGATTGTCAAATAGATATCGTTGACAAAATAGGATTAATTAATTAGAACACTTTCACTTTGTTTTAAATTCCAATAGTCAATTAATTGTTTTTATTAAGCCCCAGATGGGATTGGATTTTCAACGATACTTTTTTTTCACCAAACTTCAATGCTTACTTATGTTACTCTACTCGTATGCTGTGATAAATCATGACAGAACTATAGATTTGTATTTATTGATAGTGGAATCATTATTAAATATGTAGATTATAGTACACGAAAACTTAAAATAAAAGTTTCTACATGTGTGGTCCGAAAATTTGTTTTATTATTTAAAAAAAAAAAATTGTAAGTAGGTGCCAGTAACTGTTAGCGTTGTATCAAGAAATGGTAAAAATTAAAGTAGTCTGAAAATATATATATGCCTAATAAGAATTTTCCTGAGTCGGGAGAAAAACTACCCAAGTCCCAACTAACAATACCTGGATAAAAATTACTTACCTCGGGTTGTTACACCTCCTCACTGAGGTCATTATGCCGGTGCTACCACTGTTGAGATCATTCCTATCGCCCAACAAACACGACGAGGCACAGTCCGAATACGGTTGCCAATCACTCCATCCGCCGTCGATACTCTGGTGCGGTACGAAACCGGCCTGAAGAGCGGACAAACCTTTGTGCACACACCGTCCACTCCTGCACCACTGAAACGATCGTCAAAGATGATTAAAAAAAACAATAGGTAACGTGAAAATAAATCGTAGTAATTCGACAATAAACAAGCGAAGGGACATTGAGAGTAGAGCAGACGCAGGCGTAATCGTTTGGTGGATATTCAATTATTAATTGATAGGCTGCGCAGGAAAGAAATACGCTTTGAATTCGTTAATGCGCTTGACCACGAGATAAGTAGGTATGTCAGACGGATAAATCGTATCCAAGAATTGTCCGTACCACACAAAAGTAGAATGCGTGGAGATAGATGGCAAAGGCACGAGGTTTTTTCTTAAGTTTCTCGTAAAGCTCCAAAAATAAGAGGTATCGAACGATAAAAAATTGTCAATTAACTAATGTAAAGGCTTAAGTTCTGAAAATGACAAATAGTTGGAAAATATGTTCAACCGTTAAAATATTGCATGAGCATAGTTTTACTTACAATTAAGCTTATCAAAAATATAAAAACCCAACGAGGGAATTTAGGCACCTTAAAAATCTTTTGATATCTTTTGAGATAGGTATAAATATAATAATAGAAGGAATGTAGGAATTAGTGCGTATTTTAAAAACTGAGGCATTATTGTTAAAAGTAAAAAGTAACTATTTTTAAACAAATTATAATTATAAGATTACCTAAAATAGTTTCTATGCACATGTTGCATACTATTTCGGAAACTGTATACAGCCAAACTCGTGATGATTCCTGAATATAAGTCTTAGGCATAATTTTAAGGTTTTTTGACTCTATGATTTTCTTGGTAGCTTGGTTGAGTTTAGTTAATGCTTGGGAACGTTCCCCAATTTTCGACAAATCTAATATAATCCTTCCTTTGAAGTTTTTCCCACTTTAATAACTAATATACACTATCCTACCTTATTTTTTAAATTCTGAATGCAGCGAGGTATGTATTGATTTTACTATGTTGTACTTTTTTTTTCTGTCTGTGAAAAACTTTTCTACCTTTTCTATCTTGCTCCAATCAAAAAGCAACAAAGAAGCATTTTGTGCGGATCACAGCAAAATAGGTATTCGTACTTTATTCGTGCCGCATAAGGTGCCTTCCAATGCCGGATGCGAAGTCCACGTATACCGGTCCCGTTGACAGTGTAAATCTCGACAAACTTCGCTCAAGTCTTGACTAGTGGCGTGCACGCTGCCTCGACCGTACTTAAGTACACACTGTTCGTGTGCGTCGAACCGCTCACCGGGTAAACGGCCCAATTGCCTGTGGTCTAAGTACTCGGAACTACCGCTGTCGTCGAACAAGCACCCCGCTTGTGAACTCCTAAACAATGTTATTTTATACATATTAGATAATAAAGAAATGCGCTATTGTAGTTTATCATACGGTCAGTTTTAAAAGATTTTATGGGGTAGGTACTGATGTTTTTTTTCCGTGTCTAAGGTATTTATTTCTCTATGTATTATAATTCAAATCGGGTGATAATAATGTTAATTAATGTGTTTCAACCTAGGTTGCTTTCGATGTTTTGGTGATGTTAAATATAAAAATAACTAAATTCAATACAAAATATAATTCTTTGTATTCAAATATTTTCACGCGCCGTCGGTGAAAAAACATAACGTCAACAAATCCTCTAGTGTTGGAGATAGATAGCGTGAAAAAAAACGGCGGCTCTATACTGCAGTGCTCATATAATTAGTCAAATATAAATTATGTCCGGATCGTAAAAACCATGATACATTATAATGTAAAAAAGTAATTGACAATTATTAAAATTTGAATGTAAGTAATCGTTATCTACAAATGAAATGGTATAGAATTTACGTCCCTAAACCACAATCGACAAGATTATCTACTTTTATACTTCAAAATGTATCCAACCCGATATTTTCCTTTTACCGCTGTTTTTATTTATATACACAATGTGAATTTTCAACCACCGGTGGTTTTTAATTTACACTTAGTATGAGATTTGTAATTTGGACGAAAAGTGGGAAGATCCCACTTGGATTCCGATATAAATGTATCCCAACGTCCATTTCTTCATTATCTATGATCTAATTAAGATTGGAAAATCACATAAAATCGTTTAACTCATCAATACCTATTCGAGTTAAAGATTATTTTGTTTTTTTGAACGGGATCATCTATTGGATAATTTCGCTGAATATTCAAGAAAAACATTTAAACGACAAACCGACGAATTTATCAAATTTCGCCATAATGAAATGATTGAAATGTGTTTTTTACGAGAACCATCAGGGAACCATGAACTCCGGTGAGAATAAACTGCATTTAATTACGATCGTAATAATAGTTTGAAACACTTACTGTAAAAACTTCTCCAGATACTCATGGCTGCACGTGGACCATGTAATTTTACCACTTCCGAGGGTCGGTGACATTAAGTAACTCGTTGGATCACAGTTGTTGTCCGACGCAGTTCCGTCGTGTCGCATTCCCAAACTAGACGAACAAAAAAGAAAAAAAAAAGAAAAGGAAAACAATTAAATACCGACCGTGTCGTTTAGTTTTAAACAAAACACGATGGTAACTCGTTAAAAATCGAATCAGTATTAGGTATCACATTACACATAAAACTGGTTATCTTGTCCTTGGAGTTTTAATCCGTAATTATATTGTTTTACACAAACGCACGATAGTTTACTGATCGTCCATTTAATAACAAACCGTATAAAAAGAAAGTTCCGTCTATTAAAATATAAAATAATATAGATCTTGATTATTTTCATTTAAATTCGTTAATATTTGGTAATTTGATAGTATTGGTTATTAAATTTTATTTAATATAAAATAGTATAATCTTTTAAATTAAATCTTATTATTCACGATGAGTGCTAAAAAAAAAACCAAATTCTTGTTAATCTACGTATTAATTAATTAAATTTGTTAATACCGTTACTTTGAATGTTTTAAAAAATTTAAATTATCCATTTCTGTTTTTTGTAAAAAAAAAAAAGGTCTGACTTAATTGAATAATTTATTCGTGGGAAATGTGTGTAGGTGTTTGTGCAATGTATTTTTTTTTTTTTTTTAACAATGTAAAAGAACTTGAAAAAAAATTCTTACTTTACTTTCTAAATACACTAAACACGCCCAATTTTACAAATAAATTTTGCGAACTAGATTAGATGATCCTTAAACCAACGAAGCAAAACAAAAATAATAGAAACCGAAAAATAATAACTACTCTTAAGCGTCGTTATGTAAATGAGAACAAATACAACAATATAATAATCGTACCAAAAGTGATCTTCAGTCATAATAAAAAAACAAATACTGTGTCTTTTAATATTAAATCTTTTCAAATAGACTTCTTCCAACATGTTTTTATTTAAAAATATGTTTAATTTTACGATTTTTTTTTTTTTTTTTATTCATTCATATTTACAACGATTCCATATTTATAAGTATAATATGAAAATCGATTTAAAAGCGTATTGTCGTAATAGCGAACAATACTTTACATTGAAACAATCGATAATACAACATAATATAACAATTATTGTCAAAAGGTGCGACCTTTCGTCAAAATCTTTAAATAAATATAAATATTATTTACAGTTTTTATTCGTTGGCGTTATACTTTATAAATATATTCTGCTTATTGTTTTATTTTTTTACGAGTTCACGTCCATTTCCGTCGGTTTCGGTATATTTATTTCTAGTCATTTTCGTCGGGAATAAAGAAGAAAGCCAACTATAGGAAGACGGTAGTAATTTATTCGGAATGTATAATAAAAAAAAAAAAAAAATGAAAAGTGCTTTGATACGACCTCTTTCGTGACGGAAACTGAATTATGCATTCCGCAAGATATACAGGTATATTATACTCTGGTAAAGGTACAAGTTGTATTTTTAGAATTAAAAAATAATTTTTCAATCAAATCGAAATATATCGATTTTATTTTTTTTCTCTTACTTGTGGCCAATTTCGTGTGCAACCACGTATACGCTTTCAAAATGACGCCCTTCGTTTACTGTGCAGCTACTAGTTTTCGTGCACATACCAGCGACCGGAGCAAGACCTACGTGCGGCAATATTATAAGGTTGATAATATAATAATAATTGCATTATCCATTAAAAAGAAAAAAAAAAAACTCTTTAAGCCATTACTATTATATCATTGCAAACACTTACCCACCACTTGATTACTGACTTTACCGTTTTTACCGGTCACAAACAAATCGAGGCCAGTGAGGATAACGGCGTGGTCCCAGTGCAGGGGGTCGGAATCATGCGGTGGATTTTCGGTTTGCTGCCACTTGCAAAAGTCGCTCAAAAACCGGTCTATGTCGTTGGACCTGGACAAACCCTCGGGATCCGAATGCAATATCTCTAGTCTTTTCAAGATGAAGTTAATTTGACGGCCTAGCGAGGGGTCATGGTACAACAAGTCAACCTAAACGACCACGAAAAAAAAAAAAAACAAAAAAAAACCAGATTTTCTTTTAATGTCTTTTCCGATTGCTTATTTGTATTTCAACTAGGCCACCATTGTAACTGCTACGCTACGGTTCAATACAGTATTCGCGCGTACAATAAATTTCTAGCACACAATTAATATCGTTTTTAAAATGATATCGCGATTTAATTATTCGTTGTTGTTGTTATTATTATTCGTTGAACGCGTTGCCATTAGGCGAAATTGTTCGTTTGCATGCATCAAATGGTATAACATGTTAAATAATTGTTCTTACTGCATACGAAATATTATACAAGTTTATATTACACAACCGTGTGTTCAACATCGTACCATTTTATGACGCTTTTAAAATATAATTTGTTTAAAAGTAAAATCAGCCTAATTTGAATTTGTTTAAAATCATTTTGCATTAACACAAAATAAAAATGGAATAGTGATAGTCAGTAGTGTTTCGTGTACCGTGAAATCAAAGCCTAATGATTAACTTACAGCGTTCACCATAGCCAAAACAAATCGAATAATTTCTTTCTCAGTGTTCGATTCGAAGTTAACAGCCATTAGCCTGTAAAGGTCTTGGTCTACAAAAATTGCTATTTCCAAATTCAACACAGCTGGCGGCCAAATACCTCGTTTTTTCCGAATTCGTAACCTGTCGTTTTCGTTTACAGCGATGAATTTACCAATTGAATCTTTTAACTTCACTGCGCTTTGTACTCGGACAATTACGTGTGGTGTTTCATTTAAACCATGAAATCGCTCCGGTAACGGACTTATAGTGTAATACTCCTCATCGTTTGACTTGAGGATTCCTCTCTAAAAAAAAAAAAACCGATAAACAAAAAAAAAAAAAACCTTTATTTTTAATTTTTAAATTTAGGTATAATTATTTACCAGTCCGTTGCAAACATCAAGGGCGGCCACGTGAGGTGAAAAACTGTGGTAATAACAATCGGTATCATTCCACAGATTATTATCAATGATTTCCGATTTTCCATTTATTCTTTTCAATATCACAAACTTGTCATCGAATAAACCGTTATTCTTTCGCAAGTCTAATTGAAAATGATGACCAAACTGGTTAGACGTAAAATTGACCAGTCCAATTTTCGGCATATTTGGATTTAAGTAAGTTACGCCAAAATGTTGACCTAGAACAATGCATACACGCTCTCTAACGTCTAGTTTTACATAAATATATATACGCATATTATGTTTGTTTTTTTTTTTTTTTTTAGCAAAATTGCTACAAACAAAGGTCAATTCGACATTCACATAATTAGTTTTTTCCTGTAAGATAACGCTGTCAACCAACGAGAAAACCCTATCTAAATCTGTAGCGTGTAAATATACAAGAATTATAATACGAGTATACTATCCGTGTGTTATTGACCCCTTCGGAAACCCACGGAACCATAACGATTAACATTTATTCGCTTTTAACGTGTGTGTGTACCTCTCGCCTCATTAAAAAAAAAAAACAAATTTTGTAACAACTTTAATATTGCTTCGTCAATTTTCACTTGTTTCTTTCACACTCCCCTCCTCCCTCTAAAACATGTTCAAACCATAATCGCCATGCGGAACTAAAGCATATAACCGATATAAATAACTTACTCGCGTTGGGTCCAACGAAATGTCTCCATTCCGATGGTGTTAAATGTTCAATTAGATTCGTCTCGTTGATCTGAAACAGAATTTATTACGTCATGTTTTTTTTTTTTTTTTTTGTTACCGTAGAACTGTGAGACAGATTCTAAGTAAACAAATCGCAGAAAAACTCATACATCTACAAGTTTTTTATTTGTATTATTGATGTTCTCGAAGAATTAAAATTAAGTAAATATATACAATATATGTCACACTAAAATGTGTATTCAAGAAGAGTAACCTGTTTACTGTTAGATAGTTATGGAAAACTAATTAAATTTCATCAGTCAAACATCCAAACCCACGCATCAGTTCAATAAAACCAAATCGTTTTAAAACCATACGTTTCCGTTTATATTGAAAACTTAATGCGAGAGTAGAATCGCTCTCATTATCTCCTATTAAATCTCATCGTTCTATATTTTTTTATACGAAATACATGTATTATAATCATACCAGACACAGACAAGAGGGTGGCCGTTAACTGATTAAAAAATTAAAATTAATTTTTATTTAACTTTAAACTAATTAATTATTTTGATTGTTAACTAAACGGCTTAATTAGTTTGAGTTTTCATCGTACACAAATTTAATTTTCTGCAGTTAGTGTTTATACAAATTCAGTTAAATTAACGAGTTGAAGACGAACGATTATTTTCAACATTCGAAATTCAGCGTTAGTTAGCTGTTCAATACCTACAATATTTATTATAATAATTCGATTTAGTTTACTTTTATATACATTTAAATAAAATGTAAATACATATAAATTGCTCAATATTAAATATTCGTAATGTAAATTTTGTATAGTAAAACAATTTTTTTAACGGAGTTAAGTTTAAAATTGTTTTGTGTTCTAACTTTTAATTTAATTAGTTCAATTAATTTTATTTAACTTTTAACATTTATTTGAGGTTACTCATTTGTCTAATTAACTTAATTTAATCGAATTAATTGTTTTCATTTACTTGCCTACCTTTGCCAACCAAGGACAGCGATCCACTATCCTCTATAGGAATACAGTAGACCACTGGACCAGTACGGCCCTGAATTACGTTAAAAAGTATATAACCATTATGACCATTACAATTTTTAAAAACTATAATGCCATCATGTTCGTATTTTTCAAAAATTATCAAACAATAAATATTAAACTTAGTCTAAACTTATAAAAATTCATAAATTCCACAAGAACCAAAATAGTATTATAATTTAGGCTGATATAATAATTACTTCATCACGAATTCAAATCTTTAATCCTAGTTCTTTCGTAAAAGATTTTTATCGGCTCAAAATTTCCACAACCGAAAATGACTAGAACTCTTTAATACAAAAATGTCTTAGGCCTTATACATATTTTCCAACAGTAGCATATTTGAATACATTACATATTGTTTTAACGATATTTTACGTTCCAAACGTAGAAAAAAATGCAAATACTGTTTTTACTATGACGTTTGCCTTTTGTTTTCTTCTGTCTGTAAACACTTTATTACCATAAATCGTATCGCAATAAAACAAAACGATAGTTGCCCATATTGTTTTCTTACCAATTTGAAAAACCTGGGAAAAAACATCGGAAAATGGGAAATATTACGCAATAACCCGAGGACATTTACGATTTTGTTGTTGTTTTTTTATTTTTTTATTCGGTCGGAAATAATCGTTAATACCTGAAATTATAACCAACCACTAAGTATATTAGCACTTTCATGATATAGTAAAATGTTCAAAACATTTTTGAGCTATTTATTGTTATTTACATTTTAGACATTTGAAATTGTTGAGTTTTTTTAATTTCTATTTGATTCTATGTGGATAACATTATTTTGAATCCTCAAGAATACTTAGAAATTTATTACAAAGTTCATCATGTGTTTTTATGACGCTCTAAAAAATAACGACAATGGTTAGTGTTTATATTTTAACCTTTTAAAATGTTAATGAAAATCGTAGGGCATTTCTATACACGTTTAACCAAATTACACTCGTTTTCTCGTACTTTTTGTTAGCAATGATAATAAATCGTTGCGTACGGTTATGGATCTGTATATTTATGTTATTTTTCCTCTCCAACTTTTCGCTGACAACAGCGGCATCATCGGCTATTTATACGTATTTGTTTAATAAGTCGTACATATTTTATGCGATTTATTTATCATCGCTTATTACACAGTACCGACGGAACACTACTGATTATTTATGGAAATCGGACAGTAACAGCGCATCAGATCAGTTTTCAAATGTTATAATTTATTGTTGTTTAGTAATAATAATATAAACACGCTGTGCTACCTATACGGCATTAAATGGCCGTGACAATAATTAATATTATCTGTAACAACCGTTCGGGCGCCCCGAAATCAGTAAAACTATATAGTGTACCGCGATACTGTTATTTGAGCGGGACCCTCGTCCGCGAGGATTTGGTAAATTGAGTTTCATTTTATTAATTTTAGATAAGTCGAGTCTCTCGTAAAAGAAAAAAAAATTAAAGCGGTAATTTGAGTCTCTCGGGACCTATAGTCGTCGACATTTCCCAAACAATACGATAAGATAAGACGTATACGTACGTTTAAGTAAAATTCGGCAAAAAAACGTTCTGTCCATAAACGGCGTGCACTGTGTGTGATTAACCGATAAATGTGTACGGTGCAACAACGTACGATTACGTACTTATATTGTCAAAAATAACAGTAATCGTAATTCAAATAGTACTCGATTTACCGATTTTGAAAAACGATCGATTCGTTCGGTACTCAATTTACCAAAGTCACATCATTACAATTTGCGTGAAACAGTGTCGAAGTCCCGTGACCCCTTGCGTTATAGCCGACGACGCTGCCCGGGAACACGAACACCGCGAATATAACAATTACTGCCGGGCACGACGATGAGATAGGTGTACACGTCGCACATCGCAACGTAACAAATGACGTCTAGTGTCGGAACAATTCGTGATAAATATTATATTGATATCGTATAGGTAATGATATTGTGTAGGTACTGAATCTAATATATAATATACGATATGGCGATCCGATATTTTGTTTTTTTTTTGTTTTTTGTCAATAGTTCAATGAACTATATAAATATTAAGTATAGTGTAAGAACGGAAAAAAAAAAAAAAAAAATCAAAAAAATATTATAACATATTACATCGATACGGTTATTTAAGATCAATTGCGTGCGTTTTAGCGGGTGCCTATTGTTATTATGTCTAGGCGTACCCGTTAAAATATGTATATATGTATATAAATATATATTGTTTCACAGTTTTAATTTCGACGAATAACTAATCAAACGAACGAACGACTAATGAACGTACTGTTACCTAACGTATATAATATTTCTGCGGTAAAATTATTCCGGGGAAAAAAAAAAAAAACCGGAAGTTGTTGTTTTGGATTTAATTTAAATACGTAATGTATGTAAAATAATATCTCAATCTCCCTTGTTCGTGTTTGTAGCGTGTATTTAGATCGGTAATTTTATAAACATATCTAATTTATATACGCGAATAGGTTTCGGAATAAAAATCGTTTTATAAACAATACGGTTTTGCTGTAATAATCGTAAATTACAAGTTTTTCTATCGATGCGGCCGCGTACTCGTTTTGTTTCGTATTTTAACAGCTGTACACGCCGAAGCCCAAACGTGACCAAGAATATCGACGGACGCACAACGGTTAATACGAAATTACTTTTGAATAGCGAAATAACTTTAATAGCTTACGCTAAAATCGAGACTCGAGTTAGGCTAAATAGCATCAGCTGTGATCCCGATTTGCGAGTCGCACAACACGTGTTAAAGGATAGTACCATAAATTATGTTGTACGATGGACAAGTAGCAAACAGAAATACGGAACGGAAGACGAAATCTCGTCTGACGGAAAGTGATTATAAAATTAATATTTTAGCCAATATAATACCAAATTCAAGAAATAAAATCCGTTTTAAAATTTGAGAATTGAAAATACATTTGAAAATAAATTGACGTCGTATACGTTTTATGGATTCTTCGTAATATTATAGCCTTTACGCTTGGCACAGGAGAATTCTAATCTTTATAATTTTGTCATATGCTACACATTTTGTACGATTGAAACTACCAAAACTAATAAATCGAATTTAATTGTTTACAGGTTGTATAATTCGTACTGAAATTTGTATGAATTTGCATACTCTATTGGTTGGTCAAAAATTAGCTGATATAGTCAATAACAAAACGCGTGTTTCAACGAGTCGATAGACCAAAATTTGATTTTGCATACTTTTGTATATAACGGCGTTTTAAGATTAGTAGAGCATGTTAGTTTAGGATACTATGCGTTTTTAGAGCATATTTCAAGTATATTCCGTATATGCTTAAGAGCCTATTTAAATTTTCGTGAATTTTTCAGACGTGTTCAACTTGACGAAACGCACAATAATCAGCCAAGATTTATAAATATCAGCATTCAAGGCGATAACATCCTGGGTAACCGTGTTTTAGATAAGATAACATTTATTGATTTGTTTCATATAAGTTGTTAAGAGTTATGCAATTTATTGATGCGTCGTTAAGGTTAGACTACCGTATAAATATGTCACATAATATCTTGTCTATAGTATACTTTAATGTACCCGTACGTAAACGAATTTGATTTTATCCAAGTCATCAGTCGTGGTTCATACTCATTCGGTACGTTCGGAATCGATTTAAAATATTGTATTAAAATTAGAATTATTGTTGTTTTTTTTTTTTGTTTTTTAGCATATTTTAGTAATTTTAACGGCATAACTGCGTACGTATTCAATAGGTTTTCAGGACATATTTCTGTCGGCTTTAATTATAATTTTATTTTTCAGAAGTGTAATCGCGACGATATACACTCGTTGATTCAAAATGAAATAAATGTGAGAATGTAATATTAAAATTAATGTTTTTTTTATTCAACTCGAAAAAATTATTGTCATCAACTTTATAATTTAAAGAGATGCGCAGTTATTATTAGCGAAAATGTCGGAATATTTTTTTCTCCCTTTAAACTTTTAAAAGAACAATTCACATTTATTGTATACCTATATATATATATAGGTGCCTGTATATTATATTACACTGTATCGTTATTTCTCCTTGAAAAATAATTTTGAAACATATTTAAGGTTATCAACCTGACCAACAGGATTGTTTCGATTATTTTATAATATTTTTTGACAATAGCAGGAATTTTTACATTATTATTTATACAGACACAAAAAAAAAAAAATATAAATAAAAAGCCAACAGCTCAAACAATGTTATATTATGTACAATCATATTCGATATTTGGATATGTGTATACATATACCCATGTATATATATATATATATATTTTATTATTCGTTATAAAGTGTGTCACTGATGCGTGCAAATCAAACGTGTTCCGAATGGGCAAGGTTATCGGGAAATAAGCTTGACTATTGTAAACGTACGGACTATAATGGACTTTACTCGTCGTTATAATACATATTATATGTATTATGTATAGTTAGTTCGTTTTTATCAGACAGGTAGGTAGGTATACCAATTATTGATAATGGATCATTTTTTTTTTTTTTTTATTATTATAATCGTGTATTATGGAGACACAATATGCGAACGGGCGAAGACGAATATTATATTGTTGATGGCGGAGTAGCATTTATAGGCATTTGATCTGCAAAAATAATAACAATAATGGTCTCGAGTGGACCCGAGACAGGATGTGCGATGAAAGTAAAAGGTGTATTATTATCATGTCTGGGTGTGTGTGTGTGTGTGTGTGTATGTGTAGGCAGGTATATAAGAGGGCAATTTTTAGAGTTATTACCGAATCGTTACTTTCCTCGTTTGATTTACAATGAAGATAATCGTTGCCGTTCGCGCTGATATTGAGAACGTATATGAATTTTCACTCGCCGGAACGCATCCACTGCAGTGGTCCGATGCGCTCGACGAATAATAGAAATAATAATAAAAAAAAATAAATCGTAGGGTAAAGTGAGCAAAAAACGTTCGCTCGGATCGATTATGTTTGTTAATCGATGCAGAAATGTCTCTGATGAAACGACGAACAGGTAGGTAGGTAGGTAGGTAGTTACGTACCTACTGCAACACTAGAGCGAACGTTTTTAAAATATTATATTATTCAGACGCGTTGATTTTAAGCGTAACAAAATTTCGGTCGAAAACGAATATACATAAACTTTCGCAGTCTAATTGGTTAGTTATAATATTATTGCGTCTGCACCAGGTATGATATAAAATACAACTGTGTTACTCGTCCGGGAAAATGAAAACTTATCACCTCGTTCAACAATAGGCCCAAGATTTAAAAAAAAAAAAAAAACCACTCAGGTTTTATACTCTAAATGGACTTAATAATATAACTATATAACGAACTCGATGTGTGAAATGCACTGAATAAGTCGATTTTTATTTAGCAGTTGGCATAATCAGTCGCGAATCACACGGATCGCAGTAATCGAATTGTATACTCTATTGGATCGGTAATTTAGGCCGTTTGTCTAACACTGTATTATGTAGAAAAATTCAAACTATTAATTTGTATTAAGTATTATTTTTCAGCGAGTTTGCGTCAGACACGATTATTCTTGATGAGCTGTTGACTTTTCGAATGCAAATTAAATTAAATTGGCCCGATGACGGGAATACTTTAAATTTTACTTTTATCCTTTTTTGCATTTTACAATTGTACATAATTTTAATTTTATATTCAAATTAAATTATAGTTTACTTATCGATTTTATCAATAAAGTAAACACGTTTAATTAAAATCAATAATATTATTATTGTATACGATATTATGTTAAATCGAAATTTACATTTTTCAAATATTTTAAACTCTTTAATATTCGAAATAGTTTCCTAACAAAATAGTTTCCTGGTTATTGTTCAGCTAAAAACGTATTGTTTTATGTGTTCAAATTTATTTCATTTTAATTTATCTATTTGTATTAAAGAATTCGTCTTTTTAAGTTAATTTATAACTTCAGTGGTGTTCCAACGCCACTTGAGGGTATGCAGTATACTCTAAAAAAGAAAAAAAAAATGTAATAATGATCATCATTATGTATTATTATGTATTGACTGCTCATACCACTTATGACGCTAAAACCGTACCCAATATAATAAAAATTTTATTTATTTCGGCAATTATTGTTAAAAATTCACAATACTTTTACGATGTACAATAATTTTGTATTTTCACAGTTTTAGTAATTTGTATACAACTGATATCTTTTATTTCTCTATACACAGTATAAACCATAATAAATACCAAATTTAAATATCAAAAAATTTAAATAATTAAAATCCCTAATTTAAGGCACAGCATGTTATAGTATACTCTCAAAAACATTATGACTTATGAGAAGTACTCTTCCGTAAATAACGGTAAAAGTCGACTGAATTACTTAAAAAAAAAATAATAATTGTTATTATGTAGTAAAATTCAATTAGCCTGGTTTGTACTTGAGTATAAACAATAAGAATTGTGTGTCTGTGTAGATAATGTCGGTTATGTAGGTGTATAAAATTACAAAGACTGCGTAAAATTATTGAATTAATTAAAATTTAAAAATACGGTTAACCGTTTATACAATTGTATTGCATTATGCGTGTTATAATATTATGGTGTTACACATATGAACGTTTGGAGGCGAAATTAAAAGCGGCTAAAAGGATTCCCGTCCCTTAACTTAAATATTCGAGTCAGCCAAAAAAGCACCTTTTTATCAAATATTAATATTATAATTATCAAATAAACATTTGGCTAGAGAGAGAAAAAAAATCAAATAAAAAACAGTAACTATAAAAAGAATAATCGGTTTACACGAGGGGTAGACAGTACATTTTTTCGTAAAACCACTCCGTAAATGAAATTAAAAACCTAAAAACTAACCCACCTACCTGCTTATAATATTATAGTTGATAATAATGATAATTTAAAAAAAAAAACTCAAGAATAAAGAAAATAAACGTTTCAACAAATTTCCGTCACAATATTATTTTTTTTTATGGACATTATTAACTGAAATCACCAAAATACCTGTGATTTGAGGCAAAAATACCCCCTCCCCCAACGAAGTTTGAATATAAAATAAAAGTCAGCAGAAAAACGCATTTCTTTACGAAACCGATCGAATTATTTGTGCACGCTTAAATGTAAATATATTGACGATTGGTTTTTCGATAATTTTAGAAAAAATATAACAGATTGTACTGTGTAGGTCCCTATATTTTTTATAATTTACCCGTATGACACTGGAGTAAGTACTTTGAAAATCGGTCGGAAAAGTAAGTATTTACGGACACTAATTTACGATACTGATGTACGGCGTTAGTGTTGGTAACTGATTTTCAAGACTTTCATTAACGAAATCTAAACACCGTGTATTGTAAATTCGTTTAAAATAAAATCAATACTATATTTCTGAACGCGATTTCACGTGAAATTATTAACCGAATAATTAATATTGTTCGAACGTAATCATCTATAGATATTATAGAAACAACAATAATACAATACGCCGGCTAATATCGGATTAATACGCGACGATAGCGAAATTTCCGTATATTTCGTTTTAAACGCGAAACACAATCCTTATTTAAATACACACATACATGAGTAAATATAAATATAAACCGTACCTTTACACTTGTTGACAGCCGTATTAGCAATAGCAGTATCCACGCGAGTATTAACGGTCCGAATGATAACTGCATTATTCGTCAGACTTCAAGTTTCATAACTACTACTACAACTGTGCTGTCGGATGTACAATATTTCGTACCGTCCGTATACATTGATATTAAACGCTATTATTAAAACTATATTTCTCGATATTCCCGTCGATTATCCGACCGCATGTTGGGTATTTTTTTATTATCGAAAAAACAAAAACAAAAACAAAAAAAAAACCACTCGGCGATTTACTCGCTATCGATCGAAAATTTGATAAATTATCCGACTGCCCTATACCGTGTTAAACACCGTCAGCCGACACGAAAAGAAATCAAAAACCGACGACGCCGGTAAGTAATAAATAATTGCACACGACCATTTTCGTTCGCTACACTAAAACGAATGGTGTTCGGCTGGAAACTGACTGCCGGCCGCGTGCCTCGTCTACGCGGCGAGTGCGTATCTATATGAAAAAAAAAAAAAATACATATACATATATTATGTATTATGTATTTGTATGCATATACAGGTATGAAAATACAATACCGCCGCTTGTTACGAATAAAAATAAAAAATTGACTGCACAATAATATTATTGTAACGAACGTATACAGTGTGAGTCGTTACTTCCCCGATGTCGTTTTTGTTTGCGCGCGCATTAATATTAATAATAACAATAATAATTTAATTAATAATAGTGATAAAAACCGGTTTCCCTACCGAATTCGACGAGTATGTACGGAGTCAGGTGTGCATGTATTACCCGTATTGGTATAGGCAATATTGATTTCGTAATGTATATTTTATGATCGTTTAAATAATTGCGCAGACATAAATCAAATGGTAAATATTATAATATAAAAGAAACCCCCAGAGCTATTACGATGCTACAGTAATTTTTTATAAAAAAAAAAAATCCCCGGTCGAAGATTCGCGGACTTCCTTATTTCGATTATTTATTTTGGTTCTATGCCCGTTATACCGAAAAAAAAAAAATAAACAACGTTCTACGTAAATATTCCAATGCGAAAATGTCGCAGGTTAGCTATTCGTTGAACATTGTTGTTGTTATGTTGTTTGAGCTCCCTTAACCGCTATGCTCTCATACGCCTATACCGGGATAATAGTGTTGCCCAACTTACGAAACGTGGATAATTCGATCGACGCGTACCCGTGTATTTACGTAACGTTATGCACCTATATATTTTGAATAATAAAAAATAAATAATTTAAGGAGCGTCGAATTTGCCGATTATGAAAAAAAATAATAAGAAGAAAAAATATCGATATTGACTTTTTTTCCCGAGACGATAAAGTTTTCTCGGACAGTTTTTTTAATTTTTTGATATCTTATGCCAATGAATTAATACATTTTTATTTCACATTCATTCAAAATCGACATAAACCAAACCTTTACAAGCTCACGTATTTATCTTTTATATTTAAAAATAAGTATAATATACCTCCGAGGTGACACTTACTTTAACCTTTGTCTATAGTTTTTTTTTTTTTTTTAAATCAAGAAAATTGAAAGAAACTATGTGATAATGATTTCCTTTACTTATACTCTAGAAATTATTTAAGGGAATTCGAAACGATAATTTGTTTTCTTTGTCTAATGCATACCTACTCGGTATAATACCTATAGCAATTCATATAGATATTGTATATTGTATATCAGACACAGTAGCATGTCAGAGAGAGGGGTAAGGATTATATCCTTTGGCTTAAAATTAAATTAGCTATAAGTATTTATTTAGCAATGTTATCTTGAAATTATTTATTTCAACCAAGTTACGAAGAAAAAAATTCCAATTATTGAATAATAACAAATTGGCTTTTTCGGATCCGGCTTTCAAATCCTCAATGTAGGCCGTAGGGCTAAGTAAAACAGAAAAAGATTCCAAGATTTATTCATGAATCATAGTTATTATTTACTACATCCCCTCCCATTGAAAATTCCGGGACACACCACTGCCATCAGTATCCGATCGATGTAATGAAGCGATACGAATATTCTGAAAACAGATTTAGTTCAGCCGGAAGTGATCAGCCAAGCCACTTTTTCGAATTTCAGTCCTTGAAATATCTAAACATTTAATTTAAAAACAAAGAATTGTTTACAAAATGTATAACACACCTACATCAAATAAAATTTAAAAAAAGTGACCTGAATTGACTGCAAAGCGACAGAAAATTAGCCTAAATTGGTAATTTAACTCGTGAGTCGTGGCTTTTTAAAAATTGTTTATATTTGCAATCGGCAAGTTTTTAACAGTCCTTAACAAATAGTTCGATTGGTTTTAAAATTTGTATGTACTGTTCGCTTGACCTATGATATTGCTCAAAACATGATTTCGATTATTTGTTTATTATTGAAAAGTGGAAAACTCCCTGCAGGCCATATTGAACTTCGATTTTTAATAATTACGTGGATAATCTAAAAAACGCTAATAAAAAATATGTTAAAATAATTGTTTAAATTAGTCTTTTACAAACTCTAATTTAAATAATATTTAGAAATATCATTTTTTAAATCCAATTCTGATGCGCCTTGCCTTTTTCAACAAAAAAAAAAAAAAAAAAAGGGCATGAGAGATTTCCAAATACATATTTTGCAATTTTTGAACATGATTTTGTTTAATTCGATATTAATTTTTTTTTTTCTTTTGATAATTATCTTTTGAATACATATCTAAAGCAAAGCAAATTAATCAGTTAATTTCACTCAGTCCTACCAAAAAAAAATCGATTGAATATCAATGCAAATAAATATTCAACAATATTATTTTGTGAATGAACCTTACCGCACATATACAAAAATGTTTGCGTTTTTTTTATAATTTTATAAAATTTGAAATTCTGATACATTTTTGAAAACTTGAAAATGTATTGTTCCAATTATAGGTAACTTGGTATATAGTTAAAAATCGAAAAATGACTAAAGGAAAAACATATTTTAAATTTACAATGCAACGGATTACACTTTAATTTCGATGATTACAATATATCTACATTTTTTTAGTGTCTATATATCTATACATTTTCTACGGTTTTTTTTTTTTTTTAATATACGAACTTTTAAGCGCATGGTTGCTTGTATATTTTAATTATATGTTTAAGATTATGAAAAATATCGACAAATATTTTTCATTCTAATATTTTATCGGCTCAAATGTGTTTTTAAAAACGTCTTTTAAATCGTATACCTACTATACCTAACGCGATATAGCAAACCGTGTGTCGATTATAATATTCGTAATTGTTTTTTGTACGCGATGTAATTTCTCATTAGGTACTTTATAATATCACATTATCCACATAGTCATAAAGGCCGGAGGCGAATTTTCGACATAAAGTTATTATATCGTTCTGTTTACGAATTAATATGTTTATTTCGTCATATAAATAAAAAAATAAAATAATATAGGATTGACTATTCCTGCAATAGTCTAAATTTGTAATTATAATACATAAAAGGTTGATACTGCTGATGGGTGTGTCACTGTTTTACGAGGGAAATTGAAAGGAAGCATGTACAGAATAATTTAATTTATATCTGTACGAACGATAAACCATCGCTAAGGAAAAACTGTTATGAGCAGCAAATTATTAGTCATATTTTTTCCCTTGCTGTAAAAGTAACCCGAAAATTAATAAAAATAATACAGACAAATTACCAGTTTTTCCCATTTATTAAGTAAACTACAAGACAATTCGAAAAGCGACCTACACAATGTATCGACAGAATCAAGAAAGTTTCTATAAAGTTTTTGTTTGGAATAAGATTTTAGGTAGAAAAGTTTTATACAGCTTCTAAAAGTATTTAGTAAAACTACACAAATTAATTTTATAGACGGCATTTTTTTTTTTTGTTTTAGGTAGGTACCTATATAAATCAATAAATAATTGTAATTAAATTTTATAATTTAGGTTTGTGTTAAACTTATGAATTTCGCAATTTTAATTAAAATTTAAAATTTACAAAACATATAAATAACATTTGAATATTATCTAACAATAAATCGAAAATTTAAAAAACGATTCTGAGCAGAGTAGTATTAAGGCCTATGTAGATGGATGTAAAAACTGAAATATTACGTCTGGCAGGAATCATTTTGGCGATGAAATCTCGATGTTTGAGCAATGAAAACACGGCTCTTGATTAATCATAACATAAACCAGACACCATGGGTGTACACCACGATGTATCGACATTTATTGTTGACTTTTGAAATGCAATAGATAAATTTTTGGAAATTTAGGCATATTTTCAAATAAAATACCAGGGAAAAATCCACATCGTTAAGGTGTGAAAAAAAAATCAAGAATAAAAAAAAACACACAGCATGGTAAAACTATTAGGTAACATGTAATGTACCTAATAATAACTTCGGTACACTCGAATCTAAAATATATTCACTGGCTATTTTGAAATAATTATGATCAACCGTACAAGAATTATGTAGGAATTCGATTGATTATTTTTATATTTAAAGGGACTGAAATCTTGGATCGTCTGTCTTTGTCTAAAACACGCGTAACGTGAAAGGAATTTGAACGTGTATTGAGTGATGAGGATCTTGTGAAGCTAAATTTAAAAATTCTGAAAAGATACGAATTTACTCGAAATCGACTTTCCTGCGTTTTTTGATTAATTTCTCCCTTAGGATTCTAAAAATATTAGGTACATAAAAAAAAAAGACGGATATACTTTGTATAATGGGTGGGCTACTCCTGTAAGTTAGAAGTTGGGAAGGTATAGGATGTAGAGGAGAATTTAATTTATATCTGTACGCAACGATAAACCATTGCTAACGAAAAGCGATTCGGAGCGCAGTTTATTTTATACGTGTACATACATTTTCCCAATTATTATGAAAATAGCTTGGAAAATCGAAAAAATTACTGTTTCAAGATACCGGCTGGATAAAAGTTTCATTTCATAAAAAGTACTATACTTGATATATCGGAGCAAAATTTCTGGTAGAAAGGCTGCTCACAGAATAAAAACAAAAATAAAAATAATAAACATCGTTGTAAAACCAATATATTCCTCGCTACAATCTGAATCTAAAAAATTTAGAAACGTAAACAATAGTTTAATATTTCGATTTTTATCGAAAATGTAAGAATGTGGATTTCGAGTAAAATCGACGACAAATATTCAAATCCGTTCTCGAATTTGTATATTTTGATTATGTGTTAAACAAGGACAGAAAATATCCAATTTGAATCCCCGAAAAGTAAATAATAATAAAAAAAACATGTTTTTTCGTCGTACGAACATAATATTTTATTGAAAAAAAAAACCTGTTAACAATAAATTAAGAATTTGCTTGGTCGCTGTTCGGGTATATGATTTAAATTATTATATTGCGTGCAATATTAATGACGTATCTGCTACA